GCTAATAGATATTTAATAGATAAATTAATATCGCTCGAAACTTGATTTATTGATAGCCGGCTGTGGGCATGCATCGTGTTTATGTTTATATGTTAACATTATAACACCGAAACCCGAGTACCAATGTATTCATAACATCCGCCGATGGCAGCGACAGAATAAAGCATCGTAAACTTGTATTGTTCAGGAATGCTATCACAATAAAGAAATTTTATCGCTGTATTAGACATACAGAACTTACTATGGTCTAGGATATTCCAATAAAAGTCGTAACCATAGCACCATTTGGCACGAACATGAACAATTGTTTGACTTCAGTTTTTAAACTCCTCAGTTCAGTAACTAAGCACTTAAATTTTATTACGCTTTCCAATCTGAATTTTTACGATAGAAGCAAGCGACTTTTCAAAATTGTTTCAATGACGCTTTACTTATAAGTACTTAACTACAGGTTTTCTTGAAATGGATGAAAATTTTACTAGGAGTTCTAAATAATCTATAAGGTGCCTACCACCACCCATTATTTACACCACCACACATCACAATTTGATTATTAATTTATTATGATACCTAACCGAATAAAAAATCTTTGCTTTTTTTTTTGATGGGTGAGAATGGTATGGTAACCCCGCCTGCGCTAACGGGATACGCTGGCGGAGCACCAGTGAAGGAAGACAGATTAGTATTTAACTAGGTATTAGTAACTAGGTATACCTATGAGTATATAGGCTTCTGTCCTCAAAAATACGCTTACTGTTGTGACTACAATTAGGTACTAAATATTTAAAAACATTTAACGAACGTGTAATAAATTGAAAACAATATATCTTAACTCTTGATTTATTAAGGTATCTAGTACCTACCAACTGTAAATTCGTCATCACCTCTAAAAACAAACATTTTTCTCTAAGACATTTGTGTAGACCACATAAAATGAAATACAAAGATAGCCTGTTGGAATTCATCCTTTTATACTTCCCACTTTATCATTAAATTAATTCAGTCCACTTGTGACACGTATATTCCACCCACCACAGCACCATCAAAACGGCGAGACAAAGCCATAAAGTGTGTCAAATTAAAAAAGCCTTTGAACTCGCCGTAAACATAATCGTAATATGAAAATAAAAAAGATCATTTCGAATGGGTGACATGTGTCCACATGGTGGTAAGAGCAACCGTGTATAATGTGATATACCGTGGACGTCTTAGACAACGTCCCTTTTAATTAGGAAGTTATTTTTTTATGGGGCCAAAATTTAACACGCTCCTTTTAAATTAGAACTAGGTAGGTACTTTCCGTATTATGCGTACCAATTGTGAAACATCGCCGCAATTTTATTTCTTTTACTACATGTACATAAGAAAGGAAAACATGGCGGACATAACACCGAAATTTTCATAATCTTTGTTAGATAACCATGGAGCAAATAGAAATGGTTGATGGCCGTGCTTTAAAATAAAAAGAAACTTATAGTTTTCTTTTCTTTTAAATTAGTGCATGTATTTTTATATTTATAATATAAAAATACATGCACTAATTTAAAATATCAAATATATACTCACTAAAAATTGACTATAATGGTTACCAGTATTGACTGGAGGTAATAAAGTATGTGTATACATGGAGATCAATCCCATCATCATCATATCAGGCGTTAACTGTCTACTGAACATAGGTCTATCCCATAAAAGAAGCTTTGCCAGTAATTGCCACGCTTGGCAGGCGGGTTTACGACCACATTTAGGCTTTGGTGATGTTAAAAGAGGGACATTGCTGCCCATCCCTCGACCATTAAGTCCCCTATTGGCCTCTTATGACACCCACGAGAAAGAAAGGGGCGACCCATTTTATGGCGAGACTACACGGTAATTAGGCTCTCATTACTTGTTTGTTATGAAACTGCCTGCCCACCTGATAGAAAGAAAACAGTAACTGTCACCTATAGACATGAACAACACCATAAACATCACAGCATTCTCTGTGTTATCCATGATATCCCTCATGCTTCCCTATGATCCCCGAGCATATAAATAATCAAATATATTTTCTAGTAAAACTGACTATGAATGAAAACGCTTACCTACATGTAAGTAATATATCGATATTCGAACTCACATTCGTGTCATCGATGTCGTTAAGATTTCGAGGTATTTACACTGGAGCGCCTGTTCGTCGCCTCGACAGATAATATCGATGCAACGTACACTTGAGAAGCTCCCACGGTCCCGATGCGCGCTCCCGTGTCAATAATTCTGAATATGAACTACTTACCTATATTTCCTTCGATCTACAGATATAGGTAGGACAAAAGATAATTATCAAGCGATGAAAATTGAATGGTAATCTTGCCTGCTTTACCAAACAGGGTATACAACTAGTAGTGAGGCTAAAACTCATTATACCCAGACAAAAATATTAAAAGGCCTTCAGTCCATGTTAGTAGTATTTATGTATGTGTAGGTCTTAGATTGTATATACTAATTTTTATTGTTATTAGTTGTCATAGTTATTAGTTGATACGGCTCAGTAATAGGAATAAGGGTGTTTTTAATGAGTGATAATGGAATGCTAACCCTGCCTGCGCTATCAATATATACTGGCGGGTTACCAGTGATGTATGATATGTGATAGGGTATATTAATGTAATGGAACTGTTCAATCCCCATAAGTAACAATCCCTTTCCTCGTGATAGGGATGTTTTCTAACGGATGATAAAAAAATGGTAACCCCGTCTGCCCTAACGCTATACGTTGGCGGGGCAGCAGTGAGGGATGACAGGTGACAAAGAAAAGGCTAGTCAGTTAAATCATCATGATCAATGCATCGGGAATTCAGTACGATAATTTCGAGGGAAGACCAAGTGGAGGTCGACCTGGTAGGGTATATTGCTGGCAATGATACTGGTAGTCCGCATTACTTACAATCCCTTTTTCCAATACTCCTATTTGATGTTAGAATAGATAGAATTCTAATAATGGTGTTAGGATTATGGGCCTCGTTGCCATTGTAATATGGGTATATTACAATATAATATTATATGAAGGTTAACTAGATAGGGTTATCTAGTTAACCTTCATACGCTTTCTCCTAGGAACCATCGTAATTAATTCGTGGTGAATTCGTTATGATGGACCAACTGAGCTAATTTCATCCTCGCCTACTAATACCCTCTAGAATATAAAAAAGCGTAAACGAAGATAAATTAAATTTCCATCCCATCAAAAAAATAAAATATATAGGAGGTTACAATCACAACTTCACTTTTATTTCTTAATAATCAAATCATCCATAAAATTCTATTCAAGTTTTCGTTGTAACGACGATAAGAGTAAATTGAAAGACGCTATACGTAATATGTTCAAGCGAAGGTGGATGCATTTTTCTAAACGTTGACTAAAGATCCTACGGTCCTTCTTCTACGGGTCTAAGTAATCCTGGTCTAAGGTAGGTAAATGTTTTTAGAAATTAGTAACACTATACAGTGCAAAATGTCAATTTAACAATTATATTGATGGCAATGACAACAAGTAACTATCCCTTGTCAGTGTCAGTTTATTAGGTGGGCTTTAGTTGTGTAACAGTTTAAGATTTTCATTAATGTTTATTTTTTAACATAATGAACTACGTATGGAGACGTATCATAAATCCTGTTTTTATTCGTCGCACCACAAAACTACACAATATAACAAATAAATCTCTACACCACTTAGCAAATAAAAATATAAACATAACCTCAAATTTAGTAAGCAATAGTTTAAACTATGTTAATATTGTTCGATATAAATCTAAAAAGGTTTGTATGTATATCGCTTTTGTTTAGCATAATAATACAAAATTACAAGTGTAAAAATTAAAATATATTTATAAATAATAATATAAAATAATTATATATAATTCTTATGACTGCATTTATCAGGGCTTGATTGTTGATAAATTTATTTTACAGCAAAACCAACATGACTCAGATGATGAAGATGAAGACTATGATGGAGATTCGTCTCTTAAGAAAGATTCAAAAGTAATGAAATTCTCTACCACTTCCTTGAGAACAGATGCTATACTTAAAACTGCCTTAGGAGTAGCAAGAAAGTGAGTGCTTTGAAATCAATATGGCAAACATATTTCCAATCCACTTTTAATCACAACCTATCATAGTATATTTAGTAGCTGTACTGATTCTATTAATTAACATTTCAACCAAATATATAATCATATTTTTATTTCAGTAAAATAGAACAGATATTTTATGAAAGCAAAATTAGAATAAATGGGAAAAAGATACTCAAGAAAAGTGTTTCAGTAAGTACCTAATAAATATTTGAATTATTTATACATTCTGTAAGGTTGTCCTAATAAGTTGTTTATTTTAATTGCACTGTTTATCAAATTAGCATTTGCATGATATCAGAAATTTTCATATTAAGTAATCAAATTATACTGATAGCATAGGATAAAATACCATTTCATTATCATCCATAAAAAAATAAGAAATTAAGGTATAGATATTTTAACATATTAACTAATTTTTTAATCAGTGAATCAAATTATATTATGCTAAATCACCAACTCAAAGTCCATTTGAAATTATTTTTAATAAAGTAGTTTGATGAGAAATATGCCATTAGATTAATTGAAGAATATAAATCGTTTTAGAATGCTGATCATAAAGGACCAATGTACTAAAATGAACTCTAGTATTCTAGAAATAATATTATTATATTTTCTTTATAGATCAAAATAGGAGATGAAATAGATGTTATAAAAATGGTTAGCCCAAACAACCCAGACCATTTGTATGTGGCCCGTGTAGAAATATTAAACGTAGTCGCCAAAGAGGATAGTATTGGAATTACTGCAAGAAGATTTAAGAATTTATTAATTGAAAATTATGAAGAAGATCCATACAAAATTGGTTCCACAGAAACAGACTCTTAAAACTTAATAAAAAATTAAATTGTAAATAACTTTATATTAATAAATAAATAATAATAATGTTATCATATTTATGTATTTTAATACAAAATATCACTTTAATGGCATGATTAACAATTTATACCTAAATATCTAAATCAATATCACAGTCTGAACTCTCAAACATAGATATTTGTGAATTTGCAACCTTCTTTCTTGATGATTCACTTAAATGACTTTCATCAAGTTTTTCTAATTTTATCACAGTTTCGTCAGATTCAATTTTAATTATTTTCTCTGTATAGAACTTACTAAGATCATGTTTCTCAGAAAACTGAAATTGTTTTAACTTATTTGAAATATTTAAGGCTTTACTTTCATCAATCTGAATTTTTTGTTTATTTGTTTTAGATATGTTACTTGATTCAACATTTTCTTTTAAATTTGGGCTTTGATGTAAATTTTCACAATTATTAACTATTACATTTTGAGAGCTACTCTCATGATTTTCTTCGATTTCTATATTGTCATTATTTTCATACAATGACATCCTTAATTGTTTTTTATTTGCTAATTTAAGACTACCATTATTTTTATTATGATCATTAACATCAAAATTTAGATTAATTTCTAAATCTTTAAATACATCATTTACACTTGGAACTGCATCCAATAAAATATTTGTATCTTCTTCACTATCCGAAATATTACCTATTTCACTTATATCTTTACCCTTTTTAAACCTTTTAGGATTCCTATTTTTATTAAGACTAACATTAACTGTTACTTCCTTTCGTTTTCGGTTTTTCTTTTGCGCTATTGACGGCTTTTTCTCAATTTTATTCATTGTCGCATGTTTTTTTAATGTAGCTGCTAATCTCTCACTGTGAAACCTATTTTGAAGGTTGTCACCTTTACTATTTTCATTAAAATAATTTTCAGAAACTTGTCTTCTATTGTCATTATGAAAATAAGAGCTTGTAACTAGTGATGCTGAAATAGGCAGAGATTCATCAGTAATGTCATCAAATCTTTCAAATAAATTACAATTGCCATTATCTATATCTGCTTCTAAAGTTTTGTGATCTACTTGAAGCAATTTTCCATAATATAATAATTCGTTTCTCCATATATCTAGTAAATTGAGTCTAGTAAGGAGTTTCTTTGCTGTACGTAAGTATTCAAAATCTGAATATTTTGGGATTGTTGTATGTAAAGCATCTACTGTATCATTCAAAGTGCAATCTTGCATAGACAAATCTACAAGAGATACTGCTGTAATTGCATCCATGGGTAGTATAGTTGAACGATACATTAATCGACAATGAGCTTGAGATAATCTGGAAACAACAAATATTAAATTATTATTATGCAACAGCAATTAGTAACTGAAAGAAAAACCAGATAAAAAGTATGAAATTGATGATAATAATGTTGATGCCTTCGTTTTATTCCTAATCAGGAACATAGAGCTCATAGAAAGTATTAAAAGTATGGAATATATTTAATCTAACTGCACTTTATATTAAAATTTTCATATCTAGTGTTACCTCAAACCTTGAGTAAAAAATAGATTTTTTTTTAATTATTACAAATTGCAAATTCTACACTAACAAAGTGGGTAGTAAGACGAATAGTAATGTTATAAATTAAAGTACCTGACAAGACTGTCCAGCATTCTAACTGTTGTACGAGACGGATCCCTATTTTCCGATTTTCGCTGCATCATGTAATACGACTGAAGTATAATATTGGCTGAATGTGTCATTTCTGCATATTTTGGTCCTATCAAACTTATATACATCTGAAAATTATTTATTATCGTTAACATTCCACTGTTCAGGATGGGTCTCCAGCTAATTCTACCAGTCCAATTGACTATCATAACAAAATTTCATAAATAAAATACTATATTTCCAGCCAACAACTAATTACAATTTCGACTGAATCAGTAAGGAATCACCATGGTAGAAAAAGAATATAATACTATTGAAAAAGAACAACATCCAACTGATTCCCAATTAGTGAAAGATGCCAGATAATAAATACACAAAAATACAGATATATTGAGAACTTCCACTCTCTTTTGTTACTTAAAATATGTTTCTAATTATAATTGAAGAAAATAATACCTGCAATTTTTCTATATTCCATCTTTTTTTATCCATTGCACCAGAACCACCAAACAAAATATACGACGAAACAAGCTTATCCCATGATTTATTTTTAGAGTCCAGTAATATAAATATTAAATCAAACCTAAAAAATAATGAATATAATAACTAAATACAGTGCATTGTATAGAATATAAAAAAAAATATAATGTTGATATACATTTTTAGTTGTTAAAAAAACTATCCACTGAGTTACAGGTTCGGCCTAGTTCGGTGACTAGTAGATCTAACTATGTGTGTAATTTATTATTCAATAAAGACAGTTTTTATTATTAAACAGTAGTAATATTGTAAATATGATTATGTGATTGCTACCTTTTGGCACTTTGTATGTAAGATGGAACCAGACATAAGCAAATTTTATCAAAGTCTCATGGTTAAAAACTAGTGGTATTATACTTCATGATGTTCATGATACTGTTCATGTACAGGGAATGGTTACCACTTTCCATCCAATGCAAACGCTTGTTTGCCATTTCAAATGGCATTTTTTTTTATATAACTTAGAACGGCAAACAAGCTGACGGCCCATCTAATGGAAAGTGGTAACCATCGCTTATAGACATGAGCAGTACCATGGGCATAACAGAGTATACTGTTTCGCCCATGATAGCCCCCAAGCGTTGCCACTCCTGAGGACTCAGGTGTTATTCCTCTGTACCCAGTAAATTCACGCCATATTCCACCCTTCAAACCGAAACAGCCATGCAAACACAACTGCTACACGGTTGAAACACGAATGGGACAGAGGTACCCAAGCAATCGACTTTTGTACAAAGTCTCCCTCTGGCAAAATAAACTATATAAAACATACAATTTCTTACCTACTCAAGAGTGGAGTGCCCAATGAAACATTGACACTGAGTGGTTGGTCAGTCTCATAATGACCTTTAGGATTGCAGGCAGCTATGACGGCGCATCGCGTATTCAGCTTACACACTATGCCAGCCTGAAAATAAAATATTTTTAAAATTATAAATTTAACCTTCTAGCCAACGTATTTTTTACATTCTTTAGTAAAAGTATGATAATTATAATAGGTTTATCATATTCGATTTCGTGTTTTTAAACTGATTAATTTTCCTTGTGAAAATCCAGTATACAAAAATTTTACATAAAATTTGCAGGCACTTAATCACATGTTTGATTTAATATAGAAGGTTCTTAGTTATATTTATATCTCTTTGTCAAAAGATGTTGTTCCATTGATACTAATGCATTTTGGATTTATTAAATCGAATGACATAAATAATTAACTAAAACGGTGCTCTTTTAAGTGCTGCTTTTAATGCAGTTTGTTGATAAGTGCATCACTTGAAAATGAATTTACAGAGTACTGAATGTTTATAATACGCAGATTAAGACTTGAAGTAATTAGATACTGTATGAGGTAGGCGATAAACGAGCATGCAGTCATGGTAAGTGATCAACCCATAAACACTAGCAAGACCTGAAGTGTTGTTAGATATGTGGCTCAGTTAGTTGTAGTTTATGATAATTACCTTCGCAATAGATATAGTCTGTTGTTCCATAGCCTCGTGTATGGCAGTTCGGTCATGCTCTCGAAGTTGTGATATCTCATCAATACAGCAAACGCCGCCATCTGACAACACCAACGCGCCAGCTTCAAGCTGCCACTCACCATCTTCCTATTAATACAGTAAAAAATAAAAACATATTTTAAGTATCGATTTTCTTTTTCAATATTCAATATAGCTATTATAGAGAAATGGCAAAGACAAATCGATAGATACATTTAGTTTAATAAATAAGATATTTGGTATTAATGTCTTGTTCTGTCTCATGCATACAGCAACGACAAAATATCAATCTATAGATTCATTTGCCACTTTTCTAGAAATAAAAAGCAGTAGTTATGTGCATTTGTAAGGGCAATAAGTAGTATGTACAATCAGTTTAAACCTCAAAAAGTGAATTCTAATTTTGGATGACATATTTTGCTTTATTTCGTTACAATACTAATATCTGATTGTAAAAAATATTGTTGATCTAGTATGGACATTATATAAATTTTAAATTATAGTACTTTCAACTTAGCATAAGCGAATATTTAACAGACTTAGACACAATTATAAAAAAATATATATATAAAGAAAAATCATAAGAATTTAATAAGTAACTTAAAAAGGGATAAGGCTGTTTAATTTATATTATAAAAAAAAATAAAGAGATTGCCCTGACCCTGAGAGCGGCACAGGTGAGACCAGCACGCGTGCTGCCAGCGCCAGATGTGAATACTGAACGCGCAGTCAACTCCGCACTCGCACGAAGTAACTGCGATTTGCCCGTACCTGTAAATAAAACAAATCTGTTTGGAAACAAGCTTTTTAATGTAACCCGCAATCTTGTGACTACGGCCATTTTAAGATGATAAGATAATGCCATTTATTTTATCGTTACCTATCGACTTTTTAAGCTCTTTCATTTCATACCTATATTAACGGTGTTGATAAAATATAAATTATTTGTCATCTAGTGGCGATGGACATTTATAAATATTACAATTCTAAGTATTACATTGTTACCAGCCTCCTTAGACAAACTACAAAGGAATCTTTTTATTAAATCATTATTGCTAGCGAATCCAGGAGAAACATGAAATGGTGACGTGCGCTGTCTTGCTTGATCCCTCTCATGTGAGCGCTGACCGAAGCGATTTTATTAATAGAACTGTTTTTATCTTGTCTAGGGGTGCAGAACTAAAGAACAAAATTTCAGCTCAATTAGATCTCAATTAAATGATTCTTATAGCTTGTAAAAATTGACCTACGCAAGCTAACATATATTACAAATTAAAAGTTAACAAAGAAAACAATATGGTAAAACATTTCCAGAATAATAATATGTCATAAGAAATGACTAAAAGAACAAAGTACCATACATCAGTGTAAGAAAAAGGAAAACTTCAAATAATATATACAGCCACATTGCTAGCAAATAAAAAAAAAATATTTTACAGGAATTCACTTATTAATGTAGTTTCTCAAACAATATGTAATTGCAATGTATTAATTATTTTATCACCTGGATCCCCTACTAATAACAAGTGACATTGTCCTCGAACTCTTGTACTATGCTTTTCATCTTGTGAAATTTTCTTCTCTTCTTCACACTCAGTAATGTGATTTGAACCAGTAATCACTGTGAGAAGTACTGCGAGCTTTACTAGATGTAATCCATACACCTGAAATAATAAAATTGGCTATTAAAAATTAAAAATAAAACAACTTAAAATGTCATCTTTTAAGCTTTTGTAGTTGCTAAAGAAGCATTCTCAAAGTACCTTTTATATCAAAGTAAATTTACTTGTATCCAACATTGACAAAATTATAATAGAGTGCAGTTGGATAACAATATAATTCTTTTAAAATGTTCATAAAGAACTCTGAGTGTGTTTACACTAATAAATATTGAAAATGTAAGAACAAAATGAAAATTCACTGGCTTGACTAATTGAGAAACACAAATTATGTATAAAATTTCAAGTAACCTAAGTAACTTTTATATGTAAATATCATTCAGTCAGTGGATTTGGGTGACATTCATTTTTTATGGAAATATATTAGCTTAGTGTCCAGCTTTAGATAATGTTTAATGAAATGATAATAATTTTAAATATCATCATTAAAAATATTACCTGTGGACACACAGAGGCTAAAATCTGGTCTCGACCTTTTAATGGGCAGGCTTCAAATTTAGACCAAAAGTCATTGAAGCACTCTTTAATATCTGGAGCAGTAGCCACCACCTCAGATCTCTGCGAGTTGCATACTTCAACAAAGTTTGCTTGCAGGACCAATTCTACTTCAGCCTTCTTTGTTTGGACTGTTGGCCTCCATCGGCGACGTACTATTCCACTGAAAATAACCACAACATCATAGACAAAATAAAAAAATGAAACTTTTTAAAGCAACATGATCATAAAATTACAATAACAATTGAAAATATATATATATATATATATATATATATATATATATATATATATATTTTGTAAATAACAATTTTAAGTCTTCATTTTATCAAAAACTTACCATATATTAACATCATCACCTGGTTTACAAGAATCCACAAGGTCATCTTCTAAAACTACCCACATGGAACCTGGTATAGTACCAATATTTAGTTTATTAACCTGTTCCTAAAATCAAATAATTATTATAAAATTTAAAGATTTACAAATTCAATCAATTATTCTATACAAAATAAACAATGGTATACAAGGTATAGGTATAAGAAGTAAGATAAAAGATTCCAGGATAATTAAAGATATACCAATTTGAAAATGTTTATGAAAAACAATATTTTTATATTATACATTGATTGAGATTTAAATAAATATATTTTTTACCTTAAATTAACATTTATAGCTATATACATATACATACCTGTATCTTTATTTCCTGATAATCCTTGCAATGCTCTCTTGAAACTAGATGAACCTGTGTAAATGTAGAACATCTACATCTGGAATCTGTATTACCACACTTTAACGGAGCCTTTAATATGTATCTATACTCAAACTCGGCTTCTACATTATTTTCAAACTTACACTTCATACAAATATATTTTCTTTGATATTCAAGCATTTTAGATTGTGTTACCCTCACCACTGTACCTAAAAATTTAATATAAAACAAAAACATAGTGAATAAATGTTAATTAAAGACTTACATGCAAGTAAGGCATGATTAAAAATATTTTTAATCAAGTAAACTTAATTATAAGCATTTTTGAACAGACATTTTTATATGAATCTATCACCCAATGCAATATCACCTGAGAAAAACAGGCAAGAAACTGAAGTTTGTAATTTTCATGCCAAGAATATTGGCTTGCAAGCAATTGTTTAGTATATACTAGACCTTATTCATTTACTGTTTCTTAATAAAACTTTAAAATTTTGGTGAAAGGTAGATCCAATGGATATTTAGAAATCTTATAAATTTCAGTGCCCATTCCCACAAAAAAATCTATTTAATTTTATAAACAATTATTTTGAACAGCAAGCTTATACTTATGTCTAGTATTAATGTTGTGAACATGACCATTTTTTATTATACAATTGATAGTTCATTATTTATTATTTATTAACTATCATCTTTTTTTTTTCTAAATAAAATCCTAACTGTAATTGTCAACCTGCCAAGTGTGGTAACTGGCAATACCTCTCCTTATAGTAGAGGTCTGTGTTCAGCAGTGAACAGTCAATGGCTGATATGATGATGATCATCATCATCTTTTTGGACAAAAAATATGTAACTATAATTATATGTTTTAATAATATACTTTTTATATTTTTATACAATTTGTAAATATATAAAATATAAGTAAAAATGCCTTTTACTCAAATAAACTACATTATAAGTATTTTGGACAATCATTTTTTTATTAATTTATACCCAATTTGAAATGCAATTTATACTGATGTATACCATTCTGAGACAAAATTAAAATATCATATATAATTATATATTTAATTCAATAAATTCATATCAATCTTAAGATAGGAAATATGACTGTAGCCATATATATCACATTCATGTTATTTACATTTTGAGTACAATTTACAATTTATATACCAATCTATTTTACCTACCTGTAACTTTTAGAAAACATCCCAAATCCACATTTTTGGGAAAAACTGTCCTGTGTAGTTCAGGACAAACTGGTAAACCGAAAAACCTAGCGTGAACATTTTTCTTCACAAATTTGTAATTTAATTTATTGATTATTGTTTTATATTCTTCTTCTTCAAGAATATTTTGTTGTGCCTTGATTATATCTTGTCTACAAACCGGTAAGCTTTCTACAGGACTGCATAATACTTTGTCACCAACATCGGGGTAAGTTTCAAAGAGTTTTAAAAAACTGAAATAATGTTAGAAACAAAATAAAACATTGAAATGTTAAAAATAATCACAAAAGTGGTTACAAGTCCTCACTCTATTTTAATACTATAATATTCCAAGTTATCTGTTCCTGATAAAATATTTAGGCAGTCGTCAAAATGAAACTTAAATAAATATTCCAGAATCATTTCTATTGATTTATAATTAATTGGATAAAAATTTTGTTCTTTAAAAAGAATAATTAGTAAACATGTAAAAACAAACGTCAGAGTTTTTTTTTTTCATTTATTGTGACTTTGGCGAAAGCCATCAGCCAAAAAGTAACAATTACAAGGTAACAATATAAAATTACAAGACAAATTGCAAAAATTATTATAGTTATAAATTAATTATAATATACTAAGAAAGTAAGTTAAGTAGAAAAGTATAAGTTACAATTACATATTTAAATTCCACCAATTGTTGAAGTAATATAATTAAAAATTTCTTGGTACAAAATCGTATGTTTTAGTAGATCCTGCACTGAAGTAGGAATATTTTGACATTTTAATAAATCTTGACATTGACAAATAAAAAGTAACCGTTGAAGTGAGAATTTAGGACAAACAAAAAAAAATATGATCCAAATCAGAAAAAATGTTTTGGCAGTATTTACAGATAGAATTATCCAATAAATTAATACGTTGCAAATGTGCAGGAAATTTACAATGACCTATCCGCAATCTACTTAATGTAGTATAATATTGTCTACCAAGAAAAACATTAGATTTTTCAAACCAATATTGTAACCAGACAATTTACAGATTTTGTTAGAATCAAACCAAGTTTCATTTAGTAAAATGATATCAAAATGTGATGTAAAGTTGTAAATAAAGTTTTTAAATTGAAATATTTTAGACAGAAAGCTTCTTGAGTTCCAATGAACAATATTAATTTCCTTTAAAGATGTAATGGTCATGTTGAAAAATTAGATATGAGTATTTCCTTAATTAATTTGGATGAAATTGTATCAGAATTAGTTTGAGCTTTCTTAACTAGCTCAATAACAGTCTTAGTAATTGTGTTGAGTACAATGTCTGAGTTAATGATGTCAGTAACTAATGCCCTTTTTTGAGGAGATTTATTTTGCGTTGAGCTGTAAATAGACACAGGGGTATTTGAATTAATACAGAGTTAACCGATTTTGAAGTCACTGATGCATAAGATGTTTTGCCTAGAATTTTATCTTTGATTTGAGACAATTTCATCGATTTAGTGGGACAGCTATTAGATACTGCTACATGTTGTCCATTACAATTAACACATTTAGGATTCTCTTTGTTGATACAGGATCTATAATCATGGGCACCGGCACATATGGAACAAACTTGCTTACTTCTGCAGGAACTGCTTCAATGACCAAATTTGTAACAAATGAAGCATTATTTAATTATAATACCCAAAAAGAAAACTGTCAAATAAAAGTTCTATTGAGTAGAAAATAAATAGAGATTATATGTTAGAATGTGTGTATTTTATAAAACTAATATAGTGTTAGAATATATGTACATATATATAATACATAAATAAAATAAAACACTCATTAAAATCCACAATTTACATGACATGAATCTTCTACATGACTGTTTTATTATGAATTATAACAACTGTATTGTACTGTAATTATAACAATTATACTGATATATTTATAACTGTAATTTTGATATGAATTGCATCTTATGGGTGTAAAATTTTGGGTTTAAATAAAAAACAGATTAAAATGATGATCAATTTATGTGTATTATTTTATTAATCAAAAGATCTATACTCTATTTCATTTAACACAGCAGAAGTAAATGCTCTAATACTAAAAGTAAAAATATTCAGGTCAAATCAATAGGGATCCTATTAATTTGATCTGAAATAGATGGATGTGTAATGAACATGAAAACGATTTATATTGATAGTATTAACTATGAAAAGCACATACATTATGTAATTATACTTCTAACAAAGCAATGTATAAAAATATATTGTACAGAACACAATATATATCTACATCACAAAATATTTATGTTTCGAACATATCACAGCAACCCGCACGTTTGGTTCATTACAACATTCCAATAAATCTAATGAAATGACTAACTATAGGAAAAGGATTACAGACTACAAGATCTACAATTATAAACTAATAATTATATTACAATTTATTTACAAAGAAGCAACAATGTAGTTCGTAATGCCGAATTACACTACTTACATATCTAAAGCTTAAGTTTAATAAATTTTGATACAATCAAATTTGTTCTATTTTACACATGTATATATTCACGTACACTGTCATATTTGGTTTACAAGGAACAAACATTCGACCAGTTAAATATAAAATTGACAGTGTGTATAAAATCACAATATATCTACCACTGTTACACAACATAAGTAGTCAACGATGTCTATGATCGCTTGTGGCCTCGCATGAATTTCAGAACTTTTTGCATGAGAGGCGCTTTCTTGGGTTTGAACGAAGTGAGCGCAGGCACAGACGCAGGGGAAGGCGAGGGTGCGGGTCGGCCGCTTCCGGCGCGAATTGTGAGCGGTGTGGCCAGGGCTGCCACCCGTGCTGCTGGACTGGTAGCAGCCGCTCGTGCGATGTTCCGGGGTGGTTTCACAACAGTATCAAAGTAAACCATCTTTGTTTGTTTAACGGGCGCTTTCTTCGCTTCTTGCGCTTTTTTAATATTCACTGTCAAATTTTTTAATTTGTTCTTGTTCTTTTTGGCATCGCTGAAATAATAAAAAAAAAAAAATATATTTAATACACCTTGACAAAGTTACTTTAGTAAAAATAGAAGTTGGTAGAAATGGTGTACAAAATGTATTTGAAATCGACTGATTTGTTGTCATGAGCACTTAACATTAAGACTTGCATTTATTATGTAAATATTTACATTTAAAAAATGAGTAAAGCCAACATAATAACAAATTGTTACGGCGCGATATGGTCAATGTTTCAATTAATCTATTATAACTATAGAAACTAAAGAAAAATAAAAAAAAATTCTTGTTTTGTAATAATAATAAAAATGTCTTACAATGTACATTTCCCTCCACGTTTCCATCTCATGCCGTTGTTGTTTCCTAAAGTGCTTCTCGCAGTATTTCTGCCATAACTGAGCAGTGTCTTCCATAAGATAGATTGAAATGTTCCAGTACAAAAAGTTGCTGAGGGGTTGCCTTGTCTACAACGGGCTTCAAGAGTTCATATGGCACGCCGCCCGTGTACTTGAGGGCTAGTGACAAATAATTATTTCTATTAGTCTTGTATTTTAATACATTACAAATAATTAATATATAATTTCTAAAGAAAAACATAGTTCCTCTAGTAAGGAAAAGTTGAAAGATAGAAGCAGTTCCTCAAAAGAAAAGTTAAATAGTAAGAGTGAAAAACCCTCGAATCAAAGTAGATCTAAATGCGGTGAAAATAAAAATAAACATGAGAAACATAAGTCTAGCAGCTCCTCGTCCTCTCACAGGAGCAGCAAGTCAAGCAGTAGTAAATCAAAAGAAGATATACCAAAGAAAAATAATCATGTAAATAATAGTGAGGATAATGAAGACGGCATCGATTGCGGCTCAGGTTAGTGAGTCATAAATATAAAAATTGTCAATTTTTTTTTTAATACGTTTTATAATATTTGTTTCTCTTGGTTTGTAGGTGCTAGTTTTGCTGAAGCCCTAAGAATGTTAAATCCAGCAAAACCTAAAAAGAAATCCACAATTGTTAAAGGAACTCAATCGCCCAATTCAATAACTAATGATGTAAGCCCGGCCGTCCTTCTGGCACCGAATGCCAAGCTAGCACCACTGTCTGCTTTCGAAATTTCGGCTTTGTCAAAAATATCATCGAACTATAAGCCAAACTCGCCGCCTAAACTACTGTCACATTTTATTGATGAAGAGGCCATGAGCACCATAATATCGTCTAAAAACCAAAGGTAAAAAGCATTTCTTATTGTTTTTATTGGATTTCATATATTTTTAATATGTATACGAAAGTAAAACTAAGTATATCTGTGGTCATACATTTTTTAAAAAAAATAGGCAAAAAAGGTACGATTTCTAAATCTGTCTTCTTTGGAATTTTGTATTCACGAATATGATTTTCATGTTTTAATAGTATTTGTAAAGAGTTTTAGCTATACAACCAAACTCACTTTCACATTTATAATATTTGTAAAGATAAGTTAGTTATACAACCAAACTAATTTTCTCATTTATAATATTTGTAAAGATAATTTTTTACTCCACCAAGTAGGGTCTTTGAGTTCATTTTATCTACTAAGTTTATTTACTTCATGTCTGATTTTTTAATTTGTTTTTATTTTAAAAATTCTCATACAAAAAAAAAAAACTTTATTCAAACATGAATAGCATTATTATTATTTTTATTTAGTAGCTTGACCTTTTCACCAAGACTCGAAATTATACTATGAAACCATTGAGTTATGTTTATTAACATACTTTAAAATTTCAGAACTAAAGTATATTCCGGTAATAAAGTAATGGGAAAAATTCCAACGCTGTACGTAATGTGTGTTCATCTTCTACAGGAACACATTGATGGTAATGTATTTTTTTTATTCCCCTTACATAGTTATAAGTGCCACACAATCATACCAAATTCCTGGACATTAATTACAATGTGTTTTGAGAACGTAAGACAATTAACATCTAGGAGATTACCCAGATATTCAGAATTATTCTTATTTAAAAAACAGCTTCTAAATTGTCGACTAGCGATGCGCGAATTTACTTAAACGACTATCATTTATTTTGTAATGTATTAAAATACAAGACTAATAGAAATAATTATTTGTCACTAGCCCTCAAGTACACGGGCGGCGTGCCATATGAACTCTTGAAGCCCGTTGTAGACAAGGCAACCCCTCAGCAACTTTTTGTACTGGAACATTTCAATCCCTATCTTATGGAAGACACTGCTCAGTTATGGCAGAAATACTGCGAGAAGCACTTTAGGAAACAACAACGGCATGAGATGGAAACGTGGAGGGAAATGTACATTGTAAGACATTTTTATTATTATTACAAAACAAGATTTTTTTTTATTTTTCTTTAGTTTCTATAGTTATAATAGATTAATTGAAACATTGACCATATCGCGCCGTAACAATTTGTTATTATGTTGGCTTTACTCATTTTTTAAATGTAAATATTTACATAATAAATGCAAGTCTTAATGTTAAGTGCTCATGACAACAAATCAGTCGATTTCAAATACATTTTGTACACCATTTCTACCAACTTCTATTTTTACTAAAGTAACTTTGTCAAGGTGTATTAAATATATTATTTTTTTTTTATTATTTCAGCGATGCCAAAAAGAACAAGAACAAATTAAAAAATTTGACAGTGAATATTAAAAAAGCGCAAGAAGCGAAGAAAGCGCCCGTTAAACAAACAAAGATGGTTTACTTTGATACTGTTGTGAAACCACCCCGGAACATCGCACGAGCGGCTGCTACCAGTCCAGCAGCACGGGTGGCAGCCCTGGCCACACCGCTCACAATTCGCGCCGGAAGCGGCCGACCCGCACCCTCGCCTTCCCCTGCGTCTGTGCCTGCGCTCACTTCGTTCAAACCCAAGAAAGCGCCTCTCATGCAAAAAGTTCTGAAATTCATGCGAGGCCACAAGCGATCATAGACATCGTTGACTACTTATGTTGTGTAACAGTGGTAGATATATTGTGATTTTATACACACTGTCAATTTTATATTTAACTGGTCGAATGTTTGTTCCTTGTAAACCAAATATGACAGTGTACGTGAATATATACATGTGTAAAATAGAACAAATTTGATTGTATCAAAATTTATTAAACTTAAGCTTTAGATATGTAAGTAGTGTAATTCGGCATTACGAACTACATTGTTGCTTCTTTGTAAATAAATTGTAATATAATTATTAGTTTATAATTGTAGATCTTGTAGTCTGTAATCCTATTCCTATAGTTAGTCATTTCATTAGATTTATTGGAATGTTGTAATGAACCAAACGTGCGGGTTGCTGTGATATGTTCGAAACATAAATATTTTGTGATGTAGATATATATTGTGTTCTGTACAATATATTTTTATACATTGCTTTGTTAGAAGTATAATTACATAATGTATGTGCTTTTCATAGTTAATACTATCAATATAAATCGTTTTCATGTTCATTACACATCCCATCTATTTCAGATCAAATTAATAGGATCCCTATTGATTTGACCTGAATATTTTTACTTTTAGTATTAGAGCATTTACTTCTGCTGTGTTAAATGAAATAGAGTATAGATCTTTTGATTAATAAAATAATACACATAAATTGATCATCATTTTAATCTGTTTTTTATTTAAACCCAAAATTTTACACCCATAAGATGCAATTCATATCAAAATTACAGTTATAAATATATCAGTATAATTGTTATAATTACAGTACAATACAGTTGTTATAATTCATAATAAAACAGTCATGTAGAAGATTCATGTCATGTAAATTGTGGATTTTAATGAGTGTTTTATTTTATTTATGTATTATATATATGTACATATATTCTAACACTATATTAGTTTTATAAAATACACACATTCTAACATATAATCTCTATTTATTTTCTACTCAATAGAACTTTTATTTGACAGTTTTCTTTTTGGGTATTATAATTAAAAGCTATAATATAAACACATGAAATACTTATTTACATTACAAATTTAAATTAATTCCCATTTTATGCATGTGCTGAAAAAAGGAGTACAATGTTTATGTAGTGTATGTAACACATTTGTTCACTTTCAGTATTTGGTTGTATATTTTTTGTGTTTGTTGTCTCATGACTCCGTCAGTTGTAATCCAATTTAGAAAATTCTTTTTTTTTTATTTAAAAAAGATATATTTACAAATTGGCCCCATAGAAGTTTTAACAAAATTGGTACAGTACTTTAGATTGTTATTCAAAATAACTGTTTTTTTTATGGAACAGTCTTAATTATTTAAAGTATTATTATCTTCTTAAAACATAAATGATTAATTTTAATTTTGACTACAACAGTAACTACACTTACTTAAAATACAGTGAACATACAAAAAATTACTTACTGTGAATTTTTATTTTACTAGAAAATAAAGGAATATATTCATTTAAGGTGCTAATGTGAGCAAATAAATTGTGGTTAGCTAGAAGGAAGAAATAAAAATCAAATTGAATGTATATATTATATTATCCTGTTGTACTATATTCCACACATCTAGATGGATCTGTTGGGAAGTATTCTTGACATTTTGTCATTAATCTTTTTAGAGCTTGAATGTATTTTCTTTGAGTTTCGTCATTCATTACATGAGCTACATTTTTGGAAAAAATCTTTTCACGTCCAGTACGAGCATGAATACCCACCATAGTTACACCAATGGGCCATGGGGCATTGCCTATTGCCATCTGTAGATATGCATCGCTAGCCTAGAAAGATAAAAAAATAATTATGTTTAAACCAAACCAATGCTTGTATATATAACATAAAAAAAATAAGAAACAAAAACATTTTTGAGTCAATAATCTAATTAGTGTGTTAGTTTAATACAATTTTTGATCATCACTTTTTTTTTAGATAACATGCGATGAATAAACTCAATATCATATATCTGTTCTTAACTAAATATTGAACAAATTTTTAAATTTACCATAATATAATTTCTTTCTAATAAATGTTTTGTAATTTCCATAAGACTATCACAAATATCCTCTGGCAAATTTTTCTTCTTCAATTTCCTCATTAGAGGTTTAAGATAAACTTGTGTTTGCGTGAATGTTGCTCTTGTCATTTTATGTTTTATTGCCGTTTTTTCAGCTGCAGTTGCAGAATTTAGTTGTTGACCCCATAGTTTAAGGAGGAACTGTAAATAAAGATAGATTGCCTTACTTATAGGAAATGTAATGTTTATATGTGGTAGATTTTCATTATTATAATTTTATATAAAAACTTAATGTGGTAATATGTGTTGTGTTTTTATTTATTAACTTACTGAACTGCATGGGGGGTATCATGGGCGAAACAGTATACTCTGTTATGTCCATGGTACTGCTCATGTCTATAGGCGACGGTTACCACTTTCCATCAGGTGAGCCATCAGCTTGTTTGCCATTCTAAGTTGTATAAAAAATAAAAAAAACTTAATTTTCTATTTGTATTTAGAAATGATATTAGAAACAACATAATAATTACCTGTAAAAGAGTCATAATTACATTCATATCATGATTTCTGTCACCTTGACCCATTGTTTTGGCCATTTCTTGAATAAATTCATATGTGATGGAGTCATCTAAAGCATCTTCTTTCAAAGACTTTTCAGTGTCAGTCTAAAAATAAATAAATATTAAAAATTGTAATTTAATTAAGAATACATAGACATGTATTGCATAACAAGGAAGAGCAAGTTTTAAAAAAGTAATAAGTGAATTTATTTAAAAATATATGGACATGTGTTGTGTAGACATGAAGAATATAAGAAAGGTAAAAATAAATAAAGATATTAAGTATGATTCTATAAGGTTAGAGGAAGATTTAAAAAGACATGAATAGACTGTGTAAAATATGATATAGTCAAAATAGGATTGAATGCGGAAATGGCTGTGCATAAAGTATAAAAGAGGAAGATATATTAAACCAACCCTAAATAAATAATTGGAAAAATAGAAGGATAATCATTAAAGATACAGAATTTTTATAGAAAACTGTCATAAGAATTGTGTAAAATAGTTTTTAAGTTTAGAGGATTGACCAAAAATACATAAAGGTATCTTCAATATTATTATAATAGCCACCACTGCTTTTTGATGCAAATAGGTTTCAATATTATTTGATCAGTACAGTAATCATGAAAAATGGTTCATTATACTGTTACATTCTTTTTCATGAAGCATTTATGTTATCCATTTTGTTGTATTTTACTATTACATGCTGATGAAAGCCATTAACATAAGTTGTACCTCCCGTACTGACTTCACAGCTGGGGTTGCCATGTCAGTATTGGAAAACAAAAATTCTATTTATATATATATATATATATATATATATATATATATATATATATATATATATATATATATATATATATATATATATATATATATATATATATATATATATATATATATATATATATAATATATATATATATATAATTATTACACTAAATTAAATTTTAGTATAAAATTACCTGTGTTCCAAGTGCTAATATTTCATTTAAATAAGCTTGATCTACTTTTTCCATAGCTTCCTGGAAGTCATTTCTAAAACCCTGAAAATGATAAAAACAAAGTTAATTTAATACATAATTATACAAATATTGCAAACAGTACGCCTACAAAACTTGGGCTGTATTATTAAAAAATAATTTTGTTATTTCTTTTTAAATATGCTGTTTAAAAATAAAACAGGTAGTATCTGAGTCTCAGACTCAGATACTACTAACTGAAATGAAGTGGTAAGGTAGTGACCAACATTTGAAAATTCAGTTGATACAAGTACTAGCTTATGGTACACTTTTTACCACTTCTGCTTAAAGCCTACTTAGTCCTCAGGTAGTCAAATAGGAGTATTAAACTTACACTAAGGGCTTTCTAAGAGTGTTTAAGGTAGATATTTTAACAGACTGTGTTAGTGTTTACATTGACAATTTGTATTGGAAACTTAGCTGTGCATTTTATACATGATTTCAGATCAATCAATATAAATGTAAATACAATTGCATCTTAATTTGTCATCTTCAAAAAGAAGGATGTCTCAATTGGGTTATATATTTTTTTATGTTTATTACCTCATAATTCATTAGTTGTAAATTGATTTGGAAAATTCTTTTTTATCTGAATGAATATACTTATACATTGGTCATATAAAAATTCTATCAAAATGAATACAGTAATATTTGAATCAAAATAACTAATTTTGCCACAATTGAAGTCAGTTTTGTTTTTGTGGAACACAATCTTATTTTACTTCTTATTTTAACATGTTTAATACCCGTTATGTCGGTAACAACTCTGTTTTTATAATAAAGATAGAGTTATCACTGACACTTATTAAAACAAGAATCTAATATTTAAAAACATATTGGCTACTTACTCTGTTTGCCTCAGGTTCCTGGATTTCTATCCTTCTTAATCTCCTAAATGATTGAACTTCATTTTCTCCATACAATAAAATGGGATGGCCTCGTTCTCTCAATCTTTTGATTACTTCAGATCTTGGTAATGATACAACTTCTGTTTGTTCTACTTCTGATTTCTCTTGTTTAGTAGCTATAATTTAATTATAATGGTTATTGATTATCTTAACTATTCTCCCTTAGAAGGACATTGAGTATTTAGACAGTTACCACTTTCCAACAGGTGGGCCGTCAGCTTATTTGTTATTTTAAGCCACATAAAAAAAAATTAAAAAAGACTGATTTAGTCAATACTTCTTATATGAATCACAAAGTGATTGAGAAGACTAACCAATATATATCCAATGGAAATTTTCAAGACGGTGATGGCTCAAAAAAGCTACATTGATATGAATTCACACAACATGAGGCCCATTCTCTGGTGTCATTTCTCTTATCTCATATTTTGTCTATCAAGTCTATTACTAGCAATATAGGGTATATTGCTAGCAATAGGGTTCATAGACAAAATAGATTAGATTGACCTCCATGTGGTTCTAGAAACCATAGTCATTAAATTTGGAATTTGTCATGATGACCTGCTTTAATCTTCCCTGTTATCCTACCAGTATATACTGATAGTGCAGGTGAGGCTACCATTCCATAACATATAAAAAAAAAATTGATAATTTCAGAAAGTTACTGTTTTATGGGCCAACATAAAATAAATTTATTTTATGGTTGATTTAAATCTGTTAAACATTTATTTCAAATTGGTTTCTAGAATAAAAAATGCACTGAAATTTTAATTTTAAAGATAGATTTAGAGAAATGGCACCATAGTTCCTTACAATCAACCCCAGTGAGTAAACACTAACCCTTTTTTTTTTTCTTCTGTTTATCGCAAAGAGAAACCTGCCCATACATTTTATATCTACCACATATTAACAATTTTTTTTAATTTAGATATCCTGAATTGTTAAAATGATATAATTATAAAGAGCAAAAAAGGACCATGGATCTTTGAAAATATCTTAAAGCGAGTGTGGGACATGCTATTCTAACTCGTATTAATAATTCTGACAAATCATATATATAATTAATGCAAACTATTTGTCTTAGATTAATATAAAAATATGATTTCACAACATATTAACATTAATTATTGGGTATTTACCTCTTTCAGATTGCTCCACCTTATTATTGCTATCCACATCCTCAGTTTTACATGGTCCATACTTTTTAAAGTATTCCTCTTGTTCCTTAGCTAATAGATCACCTCTTTTAAAATATTTTTTGTTCTTGTTTGGATCCTAGATAGAAATAAAATTTGCTTTAAAACAATTTATGTAATTTTTAAGATTTATTTTAGATAAATTATGAAAAAAATTATATAGCACCATAAAATAATTTGAAAGGGATTTACAGATTTATTTATACTATTTTATGTATACTTACAAGAATATTTTTTTCTTCTAGTAATTTTCGCTTTTTAGCTATTTCAGCTTTTAAAATATCCATTGCAATTAGGAAATTATAATAAATATGCTTATTACGGAATGATAAGAAATATAACTCGACCACTTTAAGCACAATATTGTTTAATTGAAATTTAGATAACAATTTTGTATGTATCTGTAATTTTAATTACTTTGAACGAGTAGCGCAATTTATATGTTTACACTCACGAAAACTGATTATTTGATTTAATTTAATACGTATTATGCTACAAATATAAGAACATAAAAATAAGCTTCGCATTACTACGACTGACTGCGACTGATGTGCGCAGGGTTGCCAGAAAATCTTTTTATTTTTACTTAAATGTCAAAAAATTTCTTCAAATTGATTCGATTTGGTTCAATTTCAAACTTGTGTTGGTTTTTACTACGTTTTACCTTGAAACTACTATACAAACGGTGCAAAAAAGCAGCACTCTATTGTACACCTAACTTTTTCACCTTCTGTTGCTTGCTTAATATATTTTTAAATTTATATATATACTATACAAATAACTTAATTTTTTTTTTAAAAATTCTTAAAACTCATTTTTTGTAACAATTTTGTTTATTCAAAATTTCTCATAGATAATTTTTTTTACCCACAATTGCGATAAATTACACAATCTAGTAATGTTGGATGAGCAGCCAACAGATTTGACAACTTCACGAGTGACAGCTATGACGTGTGGTTACAAAGTATCTACTTATGTTTATTAAAAGTTCTGTATATTTTTTAACTGCTAATAATGGACTTGTAACCCCGCCTGCGCTAATTTTATATGCTGCTGGGACACTAATGAGGGATGATAGGTGAGAATGACAATGGAGGTCAGTTAGCCCATCGTGATAAATGCACCTGGAATTCAGCACGATGGTTTCCAGGGGAGTGCACGTGGAGATCGACCTGACAGAGTATATTGCTTCTAATGGGATTGGTAGTCCGCATTATTAACATATCCCTTCCCCCCAGTTCCGTATATTTGGAGATTTGACCCTGGGGCGGGAGGGGGGTGGGGGGGGGGGGAAGTGGAAGTCTAAAAGCTAAATACGTGGTGGGGAAGGAACTATTAGTAATAATATTAGGTTGATCTCGTGGTCCACCTGGTTCTTGTTAAATTTGTCACGAAAGCCCCGCCAGCATATACCGATAGCATAGGCGTGCGAGCATATTTTTCATCCCTTAAAAAAAACAATATGCAAGGAGAACTATTTCATATGGGGAACAGCAGCAAAAGTATTTAGATGTAAGCTGTAAATAACTGTTCCAAATCCCTTCAGAATGGCGCTAGAATAGTAACAGGGTATGAAATGAATTTAACAGTTGTTGATGGAATGAGGTACATTGAGTTCAAAAAATTAATAACTATATTTACAACTTAAACATTTAACGATGGCATTTAACATATTATTAATGAAATGGGAGCAGCATTCCTCTTTAATATATCTAAATAAATTAAAACTGTTAGACTTTGGTGATGGAGATGCGGTTGCTAATTTACCTGCCAAGCATGACAACTACTGGCAAAACCCCTTAATAGGAGGAGGCCCACGTTCAGCAGTAGACAGTTTACGGCTGATATGATGATAACTTTAATTACTATATGATAGGTCATATCATTTTTTTATATTTTAGGGTTATCTTTTGAAGTGCGACATTATAAAGCGAAAATTTAACTTCCTTTAAAATTTACTCACTTGTTAGTGCAGTGCCACCCTAATTTAACATCTTTGGCTGACAGACGAATGGCTCTCTTTACCTTTCTCTCCATAGAGTAAATGCATCACTACTGTAGTTTTTATATGGGAGGAAAATGCAATGGTAACCATACCTGCGTTACAATACTTAGAATGCAAGGGGAAAGGGATTGTTAGTAATGGAGACTGAGAATCCCATTGCTAGCAATATACCCAACCAGGTCGACCTCCTCGCGGTTCCCCCTGGAAACTATCATGGTTAATTTCTGATGAATTCATCATGATGGGCTAACTGGCCTGTTTTCATTCTCATCTATCACCTTTCACTGGTGCTCCGCCAGCGTATCCCGTTAGCGCAAGCGGGGTTTACCATACCATTTTCACCCATAAAAAAATACCTAGAATGCGCTTGCGAAATACCAGTGTTTGATGATAGGCGATAATTAAGTCAGATCAGTTGGCTTATTGTAACGGAATCAGGAATTAACATTGATCATGATAGTTTCTTTTCTACAATATTTTTTTTATGTATTTGGGAGACCACATGGAAAGACGCAAGTCGCTGCAGGCATTAATAACTTATTCTATCTAGGTACATTTATAACTTGCTTACTGATTACCTACTTTTTTCACATTTCTTTCTTTTTTTTTAGCACTTGCTATTTTTGATTTGTCTGATATAATTCATAAAAAGTAAGGCCTATCGAATTAGGTATTTAGGTACTTTTACGAATACCGATTAAATATATCTCTTTGTTGATGAAATATAGTCATAGATTAGGATAAATCCACACTACGAAATATCAGCGCGCTATTTTTTAATAGACTTCTGTCACAAATATCTCATAGACTAGAATGTACTTCATAATTTAAGCATAGTATATATATTATCACTTGTCTAATTTTATATTATATATACTTATATTATCGGTGGGGGAGACTGTTATTAACGGGAAATAGTAGCTCATTGCTAGCAATATACTATCACGGTATATTCTCAATGAATTTTTCATAAAGAAAGTGGGGAGACCAAGCACAGTTTTATAAAAACACATCTAAGAGTATATATGAGCCTTTTTAAAGAGCCAAATATGCTAATGCATCCAATAGACCTGGTTTTATCTTCATCTATCATCGATCACTGGTATCTCGCCTGCGTATACCGATAACGCAGACAGAGCACCAGTGATTCTATTTGTTAAACACGCACTTTTAATACTTGTAAAGCGAAACAAATTTTGAATCAATAATTGTGTTTTGCTGCAGTCTGCTTAAGACCTTTAGCGTATCTTCAGTCGTGTGTCTTCGGCTTTATGAATACCAGTACTTATACTATTCATGCGGCACATTGGTCCGAATATGCATGTTGACGACTTATAATTTTTAAATATTATTTTTAATACTAGCGACCCCCTTAGCTTCGAACGAGTGAATATATAGCTTTAATAGCCAATTTTTTAATACTTTGAGTTACATTTAGCAATATTCGTAGTTATATCTAATTTATTTTAAATAATATATGGCCTATGTTACTGATTGATTATGTAGCTTTCTATAAGTACCTATTGAAACTCGTTAAGTAGTTTTTAAGTTTATCCATTACAAACAAATAAATAATCATGCAAAAAAATCTCTTCTCAGTATAATATTTTATATAATAAAGATTTACCCCCTTATTTATAAAAAGTCTAACCTTTCATAAAACTATTTTAGCTATTAAATTATTTAGTTTTTTCTTTTATGCCTAATTTCTAATTTGGAAGAAAGTGACAAAACAGTGTAATAATTAAAATAGGTTTGCAGGTTTTAGTTTTTATAAAGGGCTAAGATAAAATACATTTAATAAGTAATTAATATTTTTCTGCGATAAGACTAGGTATTAATATTATAAAAATGAATTTGTTCAGATGTTTGAAGTTTTGTTAATGAATCATAATATAACGGAAGAATGGATTTGAATGAAAATTAGTACACGGGCAAGTTATATGCTTTTTGTAAGTATAGGCTTTATTCACATTCATATATTTTATATGAATGTGAATAAAGCCACAGGAAATAACTATTATTCAATAATGACTTATTAGTAATATTATGTCACTGTGTTTGTTACAAAATTATAAAACACATAACAATTGTTATAAAATTTAGTACCTATACACGTAGGTAGTATTTGAGATGAAAATGAATTTAGATCCATAGCCAGTTCTTCCCGGTAAAATAATCATATACTCGTCACGCGTACGAAGTTACGGGTAAAGACTAAAGTTAGAAAATAAATCGCACGGCGAGAACTCGTAGTGTAAGTGTGGACTCATTTTTGTTTACCAAATTACCATTATCAGTGTATTATTTTATGACAAAAGGTAATAAATTATAATACTGACGATAACAGTTTGATTAAATCAATTAATCACGACAATTAATTGATATGATAAGAAGTGTTGATAACACTGCTTACCACGCAAATAATTCAATTTTCAAAAATCATTTTACTTTGATAGACCGTTTATAATTATGAAAAACAGTGAATATAATGTATAACAGAATATATAATACGTTAATTGTTGTAGGCTTTGTTTTAGTACAATATAAAGGTATGTCCATTTTATATCTTAAATTAGTAACGATCAACTTCTAAATATGCCTAAGAGACAGTCGTCTGTAAAAATACTTGTTAGTATTTAATACTAAATATCTAGTAAATAAGTATTTCTCAAGTTGTTACTAATTATCAAATAATATAAATAAAATTACAGCTTCTTAAATTTGTTGTTACTAGTTTTAGGCACCATACATCGAGTGGTAGGAGGTTACGACGCCCCTATAGAATTCGGAAAATTTCACGCTTCACTTCAGAATTTGACTGGCCACCATGTATGTGGCAGTGCAGTTGTTTCAAAATCACATGTTGTCACTGCTGCACACTGTGTGCTAGGGTGAGTAAGAAATAACGTAGTTGAAATGCCATCCATGCTTGCTCTTGCTAATATCTGTCGCAAATATGTAGGTACAACTGTTTTATGACATGTATTTTGATAAAATTCGGCGTTCTATAAGGGGTTGGGTATATCGAGAATGCAAATATAAATTCCAAACACTTTCTAATATTTGAATATTATGTTAGGAATATGAATAAACAATGGGATCGATTCAGATTTTGTTTAAACAGCCATTTTTTTCAAATTTTAAAATTTTTGAATTTCGTAATTTCAGGAAATTACTGTTTTAGAGACTTTTATTAATTAAATTTATAATCATTTTGACTTATATCTACTAGAAATTTTATTTAGATTGGTCATTAGAAAAAAATCGCAGTGATATCAAATTAAAATTTTAGAGAAATGGCACCTAGAATCGAACGTAATATTAACTGTCTAGCCAATGTCTGTACAGAGGAGATATTTCAGAAAAAAATATATTAGGAGCCCTAATAATAATCACGTAAAAATTACTGCATCAAATTGGATGCGGTTTTCATTGTTATATTATTACTCAAGGTCTAACTTGAAAATTGGTGCATGTTTTATTTTAATACACCATCTAATAGTGGTGCCTATTTCATTTATTGATTTATTTCTTTCCTACTTCTAAAATCAAAGTGTACAAAGCAAAGAAAGGCAAAGAATTATTCATGAATAAATAGTCTTGGTAATATACAACCAGGCCCATCTAGTTTCAAATTAAGCCAAGATTGTTATTAAGATAGTATTTCATTTAAAAAACCATTTTTCTATCAAACATGTTTTATTGTATAACCAAATTTTACACAAAGTACCTACCGGAAACAGAACACACAGTAGAAAATTATAACAATGACAGTGACAATAGAATCAAACTATAAAGTCATCAAACTTCGGTACGTCATAGATATATCAAAATAACATAATGTGAAATAGTCTATTTAACACTTTTATTATAGATGCTAACTGTTTATATACATCTAAATACTATAGATATTCCTATACATATTATTATGTAAGTCGTCTTAAATGTGAATAACATTTAATAATTAGTGTGATTTTTATTTTCAGTGCTGAACCTCAATACATTAAAGTTGTTGTTGGTACTAACAATTTAGATAAAGGAGGACTACAATACAACGCCGAGGCTATAAATATTAATGAGGGGTATGATGGTACTTCGAGAGTTAATGATATAGCTATAGTTAAAATAACTGGTTCTTTTGATTTACAACATGTTACCATTCTTGATTTGGATAATAATGAATTGTCAGAAGGCGATCCTGTAATTCTGACGGGATTTGGAGCGCAAGAGGTAGGTATGCAAGTGTGGATACATAGATACCTAATATTATCTGACCCCCAAGATAAGTAGCAAACGAATATATTGATAGAATTGTTTCTGTAATCATTGCACGAGAAAGAATAAAACAACGGATATCGCTATCCAATTTTTCGTATAATTGAGTGGCAATAACAAATCTATCGATTTCTCGTTTATATTGACCGCGCATTTTTTGGGTAGCCATTATTATTTTTTAACTATTATTACATATTTATTTATATATTGTTGTTGTTGTATTAGCCGTTAAATGCCCGTTCCTGACCATAGCCTTCTCCATAAGGAGGGGTTTGCCAGTAGTTATCATGCTTAGCAGGCGGGTTGGCAACCGCAGTTTGGCTTTTGGTGATATTTTAAGAGGAATACTGCTGTCTATACTTCTACCATAAGCTCTCTTAGTCACTTCTTATGACACGTACGCGAAAATTATTATTTAAATGTACATCATACTTTTAGCCTAATGGAGAATCCAGTCGTCAAATGTACGCGCTCAATTTAACAGTATTCTGTCAGGAAACTTGTCGATACGCAATGCGCTATTCAAAGGAGGTCGTCGACAGCATGTTCTGCACTTTTACACAAATTGGTCAAGGAACTTGTCATGTAAGTTAGAATAAATTTTTGTTGTTGTGAACTCAGATGTATATTTTGCACGCACTGATTGAAAGTGGTAATCGTTATAGAATGTCTAATTATCGTAGCACGCCAATCCAACTTTAAACTTTTTTTTTATACAACTTAGAATGGCAATCAAGCTGACGGTCCACCTGATGGAAAATAGTAACCATCGCCTATAGACATGAGCAGTACCATAGACATAACAGAGTATACTGTTTCGCCCATGATACCCCCCATGCGTTGCCATTCCTAGGACTCATGTGTTATTCCTCTGTACCCAGTAAATTCACGCCATATCTCACCCTTCAAACCGAAACACAGTCATGCAAACACAGCTGCTTCGCGGTTGAAAAAAATTCCACGAATGGGACAAAGGTACCCAAGCAATCGACTTTTGTTTAAAGTCTTCCTCTGACGATATACAGATATTGGTGCTCTGTTTGCAAGGAAATGTCTTCTGTAGCGGTCCGGCCAGAGAGTATAATATTCGACCAGAAAGCATTTATAAATTGTAAATATTTTTACCTACACATAACATGAACAGCACCAACGGATGTCATAGTGCCCTACCGTGGCCAACTCTTATGTGTTTGTTTGCATTCCTAAGTATTAAGATAGTATGTCTGTAATTTCACTATCATGTAGTGCCCTTCAAACCTAAACACAGCTGTAGAAGAAATACTCGCTTGACTTTGTCTAACGGCAGAAACACTAGTGGTACAGAGGTATTCAACTAGACTTCTTTGTACAGTCAGCCATTGGTAAAATAACTATCTTTAATTGAAACTACCAAAACACGGCGATGTTATATGAAAAACCCTTTTTTAATATATTTACAGGGAGATTCTGGAGGCCCACTTATCAAAGATAACAAACTTGTAGGCTTAGTTTCATGGGGGATTCCTTGTGCTGTTGGATTTCCTGATGTGCATACCAGGATCTCACATTACACAGAATGGATAAAAGAAGAAACGAAACATTATTTACCTACACAGTTATCCAGATTTAATTTATAGCAGTGCAAACTGGTCCATGTATATGTAAAATCCTGTACTCTGGCATATAAAAATGGACGCCATTCATTTAAATCCTTACATAAAAAGTTCTATATTTCTGTATTTTAATTTAATAACTATGTCGCGTTGAGTAGGTAATTAAGACGTATCCTAATTACGTGTTTACCTAATGTTGTGTACAACTGTAGAACTATTTAATGATATCTATTTATTTATTTAAACTCTATTGACCAATAAAATGTGCTACAAAGGCAGACTAATACTATAGGCATTCTGCACCAGTCAACCAACAAAAAATATTTATATTTTAGTATAAAATGGTAATTAGATACATACAAACAATTATAAAATAAACATACATATTTATATATTACTAATTAGGTATAAAAATATACACATATACATACATGTACACATACATATGATGAACTATTGCCTACTTGTTTACTTTTTTGATTTAAAGAATTTAATAGATAAGATTGAGCACTGTTCTTGAAGGCAAATTTAATAGATAGGTAGGGAACGAAATCTGGATAGGTAACGAAATTTAATAGTACAATTTATATACGTAAATATCTGTGTAAATATAAGTGAAGTTATTTTTTGTCTATAATTAAAATAAAACAAAATGTAGTTTAATGTATTTTAATAATCTTACATCTGGTTTTTGTTATCACTCTAAGTCATTTAAAAGTATTCGCAACATTATCCTTAAATGCTATAAGTTTGGCAACATTTGTCTGAAAGAAAGTGCATACAAAGCAATATTAATTGATATAAGATCAAATTTGTTTAAAGAATTAACAAAGAATAAAATGTATGTGCCGTCTATAACAACGTAATACTCATTTCTACTTCAAAATTAATCTAATTCAAATTTTACCATTATTTATGAAATATTTTTATATGCATAAAAATATGCATATGCAGGCATTTATTACTATCATAAATTAAGAATAGTATCCATAATTACTATCTATATTATGATAAATGATACATAGCGTTACTAAAGTATCGCTAGCTAATAACGCTGACCTCTAGGTGAAAGAGTTTTTTTGTGAAATGCATTAATATACAGTTTCCACTAAGAATTTTATAAGGACGTAGTAAATAATTATGTTATACGTTGAAAATAGATCCATCGAAAGTATACAGAGACAGGTATCTACTAAAGGTAAAGAGTGAAGAAATATAGTATGCAAAAAAATGTGTCTTATTACCTTGTAATCATTTTTAGTATATTGAATATTCGTTAGTACCGCCATAACTGGTCTGCCATGTGCGCATTGAAAAGGTGTTTTGCATTCAGATAGAGATTGTAAGAATGAAGAGCAATCATCCTTTGAAAGTTTATCACCAAATTTTACTGCGTATCTGCATGCCTGTGTGAATAGAAAATGTAATAAGTATTTAAATAGGTGGAACATTTAACTCACAACGCGAATGAGTGAGGCTGAGTTGCAAGACGGCTTGTGAGTAAACACAAACACAACTGCTTCACGGTTGAAACACGATTGGGATAGAGGTACCCAAGCAAACAATTTTTGTACAAAGTCTTCTTATGGTAAACAAACTCTGTTGAAGCAAACTTAAACATGATGCGAATGCAGAAAGAGATAGAAGATATTTTTTATTTAATTAATAAACCCCCAAATGTAACACTGCAATATTAAAACCTTGTGAAACAGAAAAATTCTCAAAAAGTTCACGCTGAAACACATGTACTCGAAATTAATCTTACATCTGCAGAGGGTTTTTAATGGGTGAAAATGGAATCGTTTCCCTATCGCGCTATCAGCATACACTGACGGGACACCAGTGAATAATCATAGGTGAGAATGAAACAGGTCAGTTGAACACTCGTGACAAATTAATAATAATAGAACACGATGCTTTCTAGGGAAATCGCGTGGATGTTTTTTTTTTATACAACTTAGAATGGCAAACAAGCTGACGGCCCACCTGATTTAAAGTGGTAACCGTCGCCTATAGACATGAGCAGTACCATGGACATAACAGAGTATACTGTTCGGTGGGCCGTCAGCTTGTTTGCCATTCTCAGTTGTATAAAAAAAAAATACATTTCCAAAAAACAATTCGGAACATTTCGGATTTACGAAATAAGTATAACTTATAACATTTTATATCATGATGCTAATTTTTGTTATAATTCTCTATATATTCTTACAATAAGATATTTGTATTTACCTCACTGAAAACTAAGTCCATAATAGATTTTGGATACATAGAAATGCAGCCCTTTTGTGATTTTATCGTATTAATTTCTTCAAGAATAAGATTCTTTACAGCAGCAATCACTTTTTCCACCTGGAAATTTAAAAATGAAAAATATGCATATTATAGATATATATATATATATATAATTTATTTGCCTTACTTACAGCACACAAATTACAACATATATATACATAAGAAGCGAGATAACATGAATGATTAAAAAAAATACATAAAGCTAAATACAATTTTTCGTTTGTGCGTGTGCCATAACAATACAAAATGGTCACAACTCAGTTTATTGCTTCGCTCTCAAAAGAGATAAAGTGAACAGATTTGATCACAAATTTCTTAATACAATGATTTAAAAATTTGTTCGAGAAAAAAGAATCTACTTCAATCTTGATAATATTGGTACGGGAGAAATACGGATGTAAATATATTCAGTTAAAAAAATAATTCAAAGTTCGTACATGAGATCTTCAGTTTTGAATCTGATCTGATTTTAATTTTTATGTACCATACAATGTAGATATGAATTATTAGTCATTTGTGGGGAAAAACGTCAAATATTCTAATTTATGAAATCGAAAAAAAAAAATTTTAATTTGATAATTCAGATGACATTCATTATTGTTGTTATATTATAAATGTAAATTTATAATTACACATACCGATCTAGAATTTTTACCAAGAATAGCCTCTGGTATTGCGTTTATAGAGATTTCATATTTGTTGAAAATCGTGTAAGCCAATCCAAAAGAAGTAAATTTATCTTTGTAATTGTGTACATAAAGCAGCTCATCCTCAGATAATTTGACTAAAATATCATCCAACTTAACACTTTTCCATTCAAAACCATTAAAATAATCTGAAGTAAAAACAAATGCTCTAATGAAATATATAAAATATACATTGTGTTGTACAATATACACTATACATTGTTACATAAATAAATCTCTACAGAACTATAATATTAATGAAATAAACTAAAATAATAGCGCGTTTGTTTTAGGGTGACATGGTTCTATGTTGTACTCTACCTGACAAGTTTGTCTCCAATCTAATCCGTTCATGTACAGCATGTTGGTCAAACAAGACTAAGTAATCAGTTGATTTATCACTTGCTTTCATAATAGCTGCAATAAATTTACAATCTACTTGACCCAAAACCTGGAATAAACAAATAAAAAACCTAAATACATTGTATAACACTAATAACATTGCCTTTACTTGAAATATATACAAGGAAATAAAACCGTGAAAATACGGTTTTCTACTTTTCACTCTATATTATTCTTACATTTTTTTTGTTACTTACCTTAGCACTTTTTAATGCTAATGCATCAAAAGTTATGGAGGAGTTTTCTTTGTGAAGTTTTGTATTGACTCTTTCAATATCTGCAGTATTTATATCAGAGATATTCAGTAGTATTGGTTTGAATACTTCACAATTGATATACACGTCATTGATAAAGTTGTGGTATACATTCTGAAAATATTTTATAACAAAAACCACAAGTTTTTAGAGTTCTGTTCATTTTATAAACATTAAATTAAAAAAACGAAACTTGCTCTTACTTCTTCAAAATAATCCTTTTCAAGATTGTAGCTGCATGCATTATTTGTGTAACAGTTTTGAAAAATTGGTGATAATCCTTTAAGAGAGAAAAAATAATAATTATAATGCCAAAATTACTACCGTAGTAGTGAATTTTTACATACCTTTAGGTACAAAGTTATATCTGGTTTGTATGTTGAAATTATTAACATCTTTATCTAAAGCATCACCAATATTTTTATGGTGTAGATTATTAAATTCTTGATTGATGTATCCATATTTTGATTGATCTTCGTTTAAAGTATTAATCCTGATTTGATTTTCTGTTTCTTTATAATCACTTTCGGGAAATGATCGAAAGTGGTGTGAAATTTCACCCACAATGAGATCATTTATTTCATGTGCATGACTTATAGTATTGTTTTTTGATTGGCCGTTACTAAGTGTATTGTGTAGTTTATTATATTCTGAATTTAATTCATATTCTTTTTCTACAACATCGTCACTATTATTACTTATAATTGCTTCGCAAACATTGACAGGTTCAATATTCTTAATAGATGTGATAGATTCAATGTTGGTAGAAATAATCACATTAGTTTTGTAAATATCACTATTTGATGACTTGTTATTGTAAAATTTATTGAAATCAGTTTTATAATTTTTATTTTTTTTATCGTTACAGTTATATGTATCGTTTGAGAGATCACAATTTTCAATAAGTACTTTTTGAGTTTCAGTAACACTACATTTTGATAATATGGTGTAAGTATGGCCTATATTGGCATTAACTGTATTACTAATATAATTCTCTTTATCAGAGAATAAATCTATTGATTTGTTTTTTCTTAAATCACTAACAAATGATGATGTTCTCTTAGTTCTAGATTCGTGGTTAAAATCGTCACATAATAGACTACTGTTATATTTTGAAAATTCAATTCCATACGATAACTTTTGCAAGTCATTTCTATTGTTGTTTTTTTTCCATGTTGCAATTTGTTCCTTTACATTATTAAACTTCCCTTTTATTTTGCGTTGCTTTTTATAGTTCTTCTTTTTAGAAATGGAAGAATATGTTTCTTTGTAATTGAGGAACTTTTCCCTTGAATTTATTGTAATAAATGGGCATTTGGATCTTTTCTTTTCTGAAGTGTGTATAGATCGTGGCATGCTATGTTTATTGTAATTGTGGCTCTTATATGTAAATTTAGACAGAAATATACCATTATGCGTACAATTTGAAGATTTAATACTTGCTTTCAGTTTAAAATTCCAAGGTTGATCTGCCAATCTAGGAGTATGGGGACTATTATATTTGGGTATGTTAGATATATTACAAATTTGAGTATTTAAAACAGTCTTTAAAAGATTGTGTGAAGATATATGGTTCTGATTGTTTTTGCTCTCTTGGTTTAAAATATGGTTAATATGAGACAGTTGAGTACATTTTAAAGGATGTGGTAAATAGTCATGGATAATGGTTTCATCAATTTTCTTCCATGCTGAAACATTTATTTGATCTGTTACATCATTAGACAGTTCGTTTCTACTCTTTGTCATTTTACTTATACTTACACAACTTGGAGAATGTTGCATAGAAATATCTACCATGTCACATGTCTCAATACTATTTAACTTTTTATTCAAAGGTATATTTTTAAAACACTTCTTATTTATATATTTTTCTTCAGATTTAATTGAATTTATAGTTGGTAAAAAAATATCTGAATCGAGTTCTTTATTTGCGGGTATTTTGTCATTCATCTTAGAGTTGAAATCCATTTTATTTGATACTTTATTTAATCCTATTTTTGATTTAAGTCTTTTCCTTCTTTTTGATTTCTTTTTAGGTACATTAAGATCCTTTTCAATTTTATTTCCAGCATGCATATTACTGTCATGACTTTCATTTGAATACTCTAGATTTTCTGATATCTTGTGTGGTATTATCGCAGGAACTGTTTTAGGAGGTATAACTTTTGATAAGCTTATGTTTGGTAGTTTCCTTTTCATTTTCCGTTTTATTAATTTACCTGATAACATAGATTATAAATTTTCAAATTTATAATTGGAATAGTAAGATACATCATGGAACAAATTTTATATTTATTGTTGTCTACTCAAAGACCTAGCATAACATACGATGAACTGACTGAATGGAAATATAATTACAAAAACAAGACGAGAAAATAGTTATATTTGAAAATAATAATGTGCAGATAATGTAAATGTGTACATGTGACATTTCTGAATTTACATCGAATTGAAGTTGCTAAAATTCACATATTTGTTATAATTTTTATTTCAATTCATGGTAGTTTAGCACTTTATTTGAATGAAATTAGATATTTTTTTCCATTTAATCTTCTACAAAATATTTCTGGCTGTTTTATAATATTGAATTTAAACAGACAAATGTTAGAGTGTAATTATGTGAAAAATGTGTAATTTTGTGGTTTTTAAAAATGTAAAAATTGTTAGAACTCGTTTTGTTCATGCTTTTATTGGTTCAAGATTTGTGTAGGTGAATATCCTATTTGTCTATCTCACTCTAACATATATACTATTATATGTTTTCTCGTTTACATTACCATTCTATTTACTTTATAATTATAATCTAAATATCTATTAATCTCATAGAAATCTATCTAAAAGTTTATATTTATATAAATTACAAACACAATTTTTTGTAATGTGGAAAAATATGTCATGGATTAAAATTTAAGATTTAAAATAGTTTCATTATACATAGAGAGAGTAATATCTAGAAAACTGAACATTCTATACTAATATTGTCTATATTATATTATTCAGGAATAATAAAAGAATGAGAAATAACAAATATTTAGCCAAAAAGTTGAATAATAAATCTGACTAGTTGTACTTAATAAAAATTGTTTCAAAATAAAAGATTACAACAATTCAGTTTCTCATCTTACACTTGCAATATTACATTTTTTTTTCAAATAGTAACTAATATATGTTATGTTTAATAATATAAAATGGAACAAATGTTTGAACAGACAATAGAATAGAATAATAGTGTACACATTGACATTGCATAGCAGTTAAAATTATTGGAAGTAGAAAAAATATATTTAAAATAAAAAAAAAAAAATACAAATAGAACAGTGACTTTATTGCTACTGTGCAGTAGTGCTTTCACTCAATTGTGTAGCGGTATATAAAATAGTTTCTGCTGAGATGATTATTATGTCGTAACTGAAACCACAAAAAGTGTTTGGTGGCCTTGAAAATGTTACCTTTCACACCATTGTTCATCTGGGAGACTCCAATTTTAGGATTATTTTTCAAAAGTCTTTCTACAATTTTTCTAACTTGTTCTCTTGTGTCATCAACTTTATTTTTTTCAATTTTCTTAAGTGGTTTTAGTTGTTTTACAAAATTATTATCACCCGTGTAAAATTTTATTAACTTTTCCAATAATTTAGTAATTTCATCCCAACTTTTGAATTCTAATATTGTGTGTTTTGGTGTATTACTAATGTGATAGTCATAATATGGGCATGACAATAATATAACATAAAATGGTATTTTGTTTTTTAATAAATATAGATCTTCATTTTCTGTTTTCTATAATGAAAACAAAATTTATAACTGGATTTATCAACTTTAACAATGAAGAGCAAATAGTGAAGTGTGGGTATGTTATACATAAATTACTATAGTGGTAATAGCTTTTTTGCAGAACTGCCAGATTCTACCAACTTGTTTTATGTTAACAGTACATTATATCAAACTGTTATCAGTATGAGTGTTAGTTTATTAAATTTTAAGATATCTTTATTGAGAGTTATTTTAAGTTTAATAAATATAATTTTACACAAACCTTTGTTTTAACATTTTTTGAAGTCTTCCAAGATTTTTTCAAATTGTCATTTATTATTTTATGTAATGTACTATTAGAAAGGAACTTCCCATTCAAATAAATCCAATGAGTATGTCCATCTTCATATTTTTTTCCAATAAAAGCTGTTACTTTGTACTGATTTTTCTCAACTCTAAACTGTTGTATATCTTGAGGATCAATATTGAATAATAACTGTATGGATTGACACATATCTCTGTTCTTATGAGCTTGGAAAATTATTTCATTTTTTGCATCATCTCTCAAACTCAATGACACATTACAATGTATCAATGAAAATTGTTGCATAAATGTTTTTATTTCATTCAGTTCATTCAAAGTGTGAACTGACTTACTTTGAATGTGGAGATTGTAAAGAAATCCTTTCACTTCAACCTGTAATTTTTTATAGTATTACTTAATTTAATAAAAAAAAAGTCTTATATAAATAGAAAATATAACTATTAATATACAATACATGGGAAACAAGCTGACAGTCCAACTGATGGGAATCAGTAATCATTGCCTGTAGACATAAACAGCAATAACTCCTATAGACATGGTTCATCTCATGTGTTTGTGATTCCTGAGGATTATGATGTCATAGTTACATTTTTATATTTGTTTTACAATTTTTTATATTAGTGATAAATTAGCTTTAAAAGTTCAAAAAGGCCTTCTAAATTCGGTTGTATTTTTTTATGTTTGTTACCTCTGTCAGATGTAAATGGAATTGGAGAATTCTATTTTTATGTGAAAGCATATATTTACAGATTGGTCCGATAAATATTTATCATAATCAGTATCATTTTTAAAGCCAACTGACTTCCTTTGTGTCAACAAAAAGGAAGTCAGTTATTTTTATGTGGAACAGTTGATTATTTTAGAAATCAGATTATTGTAATTCAATGAGTTTCATTGAACAGATTTAAATGATATTTGGTACATAGATTGATTATAACTTAGTTAATTATATAAGATATTCAGCTTATATTGTTAAGTATCTGATTATATTACCTTGTAATATCATAAGTAAAAATATCTCATTATTAAAATTATTTCAAAGGTAAAAGAAATTTACAGACAACTCAAATCAAAACATATTATAGAATCACAGTGTACAGAATAAAACACTAGTTAAAAACTTACTGTAGTTCCTCTTGATGGTCTTACAGATGTTTTAGTTAACTCTTTTGTTTTACCTTTGTGAAATATTTTCAACCATGTATTCTGATTATTTTCACATCTAGAGGTTATCTTAACATTTCGAGAAATATTGACAATATTAGCTAAAGATAGACCTTGATAACCATAAGTATTGGCAGCTGCTTTTAATGTACTTAAGTCGACACATTTGCTTGTAGTGTATCTTTGTCCAAGTAAGTTAAAATCACTTTCCATAATTCCTTGTCCATTGTCAATGACCTGTAATTTATTTTCCTCGATGTGGACTCTTATGGCAATTGAAGTAGAACCAGCATCCAAAGAATTGTAAACCTGGAATAATACAATTGCATTAAAAATACAAAACTAAGAATCTTTATTTCTGTAAAGTATAGGAATAAGTACCAATTCTTCAATAGCTCTTTTATATGTGCTAATGTATGTGGAAGAAGATAATAAGCACTGGACAGATTCTGGAAGCTCTTTTACAGCCATGACTACAATTATTTAATACTTTAGTAATCACATTCAGAACAATCTTTACTCTTTTGTTTCAGTATGTCTTAATAGTCCTACTAAAACAAAAGAGAATTAATATATAAATTATTTTTTAGTTTTCGATGAATATTTTAAAAATAGAATACTTAGTAGAATTTTACCTCATTCTATAGTATTTAGGTAACAATTCTGAGAGTTCAAGTATTATCTATAGCGGCTGTATGGAATTGAGCAGAATACATAGTATGTAATAAATTTTATTTCGCAGTAATTTCTAATACAGAGGTTGGTCATAATAAAATAATAATTTTACGTCACCATATTAAAATCTGAGATTAAAATTTAGAAATGAGTTTTTAAATACTTTTGAATTTTAAAATTCGATGTAATTGACAATTTGATATGACAATTTGTTTTTATTTTGACGTTTAGTTTTGTGTTGTCATTAATAAACTTTCCTTATATAAAAAAAAAACACTACAAAATAATTTAATAAAAAAAATATATAGTGCTTATTTGCAACATCTTGCTTATTATTTTATACTGACAAAATATTTAATGTCTAATTTTATCCCACTTTCCAAAAAACACAATATTCGATAAATATATCATATAAAATTAAGTACATATATTTAAATATATAAATATACACAATTTTATCTAATGTTATCACGAGAGAAACAATTACTTATTAAAATCTCACCTGATTTGTGGAAAAGTTAATTAAATTAACAAATTAAAAATGTCAGTACCTATTTACTGAAAAATGGCGCATTATTCAAAGACATAGAAGTGTAAACAAAAAAAGAATGACACCTAGGTTACCATATTTCTAAAAAAATTTTTCACTAGATTAAGCTATTACCATGAGTTTTTATTTTTTAATGGGTAAAAATATAATAATAATTTTGACCCTATATTTCTATAAAAAAAAGCAGGTTTTTCATGACACTCAAACAAAATTATTTTTTTAATAGATGATAATGGACATAGATTATGCTGGCAAGTTATTACCATGAGTTTTTATTTTTTTAATATATATTGCTATATATATATATATATATATATATATATATATATATATATATATAGATAAATACATAGTTTCCTTCAAAATATTTCAATAGTAAACCTATCATAAATACAAATAATCAAATCAATTTTTTTTTAATATAAAATAGTCAACGAGAATTAAATTTGGTTTCAACGCCTATTTGATTAATATTCGTCTAATGAACGTCAAGTTCAGAAAATGAAAATGAATATATGAAATTGTTCATATAACTTCGAAAATGTTTGGAAAAAAATGTTGATCGAGTATAATTATTGGAGGGGCAATATAGGCTAGTAGACAGTCCCACCGTATACCCCAGATTTATCTAGGGTATGGGGTGTAGGTATTCAGCTAGTAGGTAGTAAGGTATTCAGCTATGCAAAAAGATGGATTATGTCTGATAACACATATTATTATGTGACTTATTTAAGGGCCCAGCCTATACTTGGATAATCAGTGGTCGTCATATTAATAACCTTATTAATATTCTACTTCTAGTAAGTATTATAACATGCTCCTGAATAGTTTTGGATGGTTGAATTTGAATATTTGATACAAAGGTGTATTAAATCCTGAAACATGATTATTCAACATCAACAAATCAATTATATTTATTTGTGTTTAACACAGGATTTTCTATATTAATTGTCGTTAGTAAAACATTTTATAGTAAAAACCACTGAAAATAAATATTTAAATATTAATTGATAAATAAAAAATATTTTAATATCATATAATCAGTAAGAATATGTACCTTATATTAACTAGGCAAGTTACATATACCTAGGTAACTTCACCATAATTAGACTATCATCACTGTTAGCGTAGAAAGGTAATTACTTTAATACTGATGTTTATTTTGTTACCTTTTCATATTTTTTTACGTTGATATAATTGACTATAAATTATGTTGATAAATAAATACGAATAAGCAATTATATGTATAATTGCATTAATTAATAATTACCTATCCATATATGATTGATTTAAAGATAAAAAAATTGTACACTGTTGTAAAATTGCCTGAATATTTAATTGTGATTTTCTCTAAAGTGGTATAGTCGTGAATAAGAATCGATAGCCATAACCCTGAACCACCACGTGTTACAATACTATCACGAGGTGGAGTACGGCAGCGAGTAGTCACTATATGAGCCCCAGTATGTTTGATCGTGTTGATTACAATAATTATTGTCGAAAAGCTTGTAAAATATTGTGTTGATCTGACAATAGTGGACCCCAAATTGCTTTCTATTTAGAATAAATAATAAGTGGGATATATGCAGGTGTAATTAATAGTAAAAAGCTATAAAATACATATTATTTAATAGGGATAAACTTTATAACGTTTTTGTAATTTGCTAAAAAGATTTTTAAAATAAAATATTATAATTATGTGATAGCTATTATTTGGACTTAAAAGTAATAGTGTTACATTAGTATAATTATAACACGATTATGAGTGCTTGTATGGAGGCGGAAATAAAATTATTTTGGGAATACGTAAAACGGTAAGTATTTCTGCAAGTTGTCTCCTGTGACTACTTCAATTTAACTTACATCACTTTGTATGAATATGTGTAAAGTGTACCAAATTGACTTTGCTGTGAGCGTTTGTCCATTAATCATGTTGAGTGATGTTTTGTTGCTAAGGTATTTTCATTTGTCTTTTTATGGCAATGAAAAAGTTTTACTACAACTGATAAAGTTTGTGCGTTGATGCTTTCTTAGAATTTTAATCATGGCACATATCTACTTGTAAGGGTATTTAGTGAAACGAGTGACTAATAGTAAAGGTATTGTTTTAGCAAAAACAATACTCGTATTTTTGAGACATTTCTAAAAGGTGAAGGTTTTAAATTCGCTTAAATATTTTGATATCATGCCACATCCCTATTAATAACAAAAGAATTATCAAAATCGGTTCTATATTGGTGAAGTAATCACGTGACAATTTTAATACAAAAATACAGACTAATTGAGAAACTTTTTAGAAACCGCTTTAAATATAAGTTAACAATCAAGTAGAGTTAAGTAGCCGATAAAGGATATGTGTTATAAATTATTTCTAAAGCTTGGCTTCGTTATCGGAAACATAAACATGGTAAATTTATTATTGTTGTCTAGATATATAATGTACAATTAGTGCCTTTTATTAACATTTTTTTTGGTCGTGTGGTCCCGGCGTGGAATAGGCCACCCCTTTTTTCCGTGGGTGTCGTGACTAAGGGAAGGCGAGGAATGTGCAGCAGCGTCCCTTTTAAAACATCTCTAAAGCTTGACTGCGGTTGCCAATCCGCCTGACAAGCATGTCAACTACCGGCAACACCCTCCAAGGGGGAGGATTAGATTCAGCAGTGGACAGTTGAAGGCTGATATGATATGATTATTATCATTTTAACACAGTATACTCTGTATCAGCCACACGGCATAGTATGGCCAATTCTATGTCGGGACCACACGGCATAAAATGGGCCACCCCTTCCTTTCTGAGTAAAGGAACTTAATGGGTGAGAGAGGGGCAGCAGCTTAAACAAATATCACTAAAAGTTTAACTGTGGTTGTCACTCCGTCTGCCAAGTGAAGCTACTACTATTACAACTTCAAAAATCCCCTTATGGGGAGGGGGTTCTATGTTCAGCAGTAGACAGTTAATGATTGATATGATGATCATACTCTGTTATGGCCATAGTACTGTATATTTCTATAGGCGATGGTTACTACTTTCCAATAGGTGGGCCGTCAGCGTGTTGACCGTTTTAAGTTACATAAAAAAAATTCCACCGTTAATTTTCTATTTCTGAATCTACCCCCGCTTTAAGAAACGGTTCTGGTTAGTAACTCTTTGCAACATATTAAGGTCTACTATTCATGTTACCCTTTAGGGGGACTTGTCCTACATCGTATGCATTTATCGCTACGAGGTAAATATTCGTAAATTTTTATTTTCACATCGATTGTTGGTTTTTCAAACTGTATGCTTTTCCATTATGGTTTATATTTATCTTTCATTAGCACAATTATATGTGAACATTTCAGTAATAGTATTTTAAATTTTGATGTTCGTCATAAATACCCATATATCCTATGTAAACTATACCAAAGAACAATGATATTAGGTATGAGTTTTCAAGTTGTAAAATATTTACCGTGACATGAGTGATAGATGTTAACAAGCTGGATATAGCGTGATCAATACATGTGTTTATTTAGTTAGGTTGTTACAGTAGTCCTTCAATACGGGGTAACAAAATCGACTTATAAGTATGTTTCTTTTCTTACGTTAGGTACTTTTAAAAAAGGCATAATTTTTACGTATAACATTATCCTCTTTTTGTCGATATATATGTTAATATAATATAGTAATTATGTATTTTCTTGTTCATCATTATGCAAGTAAAAATTAAAGTGAGAACACTGATTTTTGTTATGTTTAACTATTCATAAAAACGGATGCTATGGTTTCATGTTCCCTCTTTGTTAATAAATATTAAAAAATAAAAACTTTTCGATTAGTTGACACAGCAAAAACAACAAAGACAATGGCAAAAACTTTATATTTTACTCATATATTAAAAGAAAAACTTTTGCAAAATCCTATGAGAATAGAAAATAATGAGGTCAGGGACGGGCAATGCTATTATTTTTCTATGGAATTATCATCTATTCTTTGCCGTGCCCACCTTAGAATTAGTTTATGCTTACCCCGGAATGCAAGCGAAGTATCACAAAGACGTGTCTGAAAATATATATACGACTTTTAACAGGCCTCGAATTTAAAACCTCGCTCTAAGCTCTCTCTTAGCATTGCTTATTCATAGATCAAATTGGTGGTCCTATTTCCCACTTCTTTTAAAGTTTTATTGAAATTGATTGCCCTCATTGGCGTAATATTAAGCTAGCCGTTAGTATATATTTATAGCATAGACAATGTCTATAATACTATACTAGCTTATTAAATTTTGCTTCGTAGGTATACTTATAGATATGGGCTGAGTGATCTCTGCTTGAGTGAGTACATAGAAATGAATGATAAATTCTGAACTTAGAATTCGATATTAACAGTAAATTTTTTATCTTTAAATATTTTTTTAATTACTTGTTCTTGATATTATATAGATCATACTATAGTATGAAGATGTGAATTCTAAATATAAATTTTACGTAAAAAAAAACAATAAGTTTATTGTTAATATTATTCATATAATATATTATCATAATATTAGTCAATATATGTAGAATAAATAGGAGACGTGCTGAAAAAGGGCCAAATTAAACGTATCCGTACCCGGCGAGCGTGTATGAAAAGATAGATGAATGTGGAAGAAGCGAAAGAGGTTTGTTTGAATCGAAGCATTTGGCGTTCCATTGTTTTTGCCTACCCTAATGGGAGACAGGTGTGATAGATATGTGTGTATGTGTTAGTCAATATTGTATATACAGCTAGTTTAAATGATAATTAATGTTAATAAAATTAATATAAAATATTCTATGTATGTTTTTAGTAATACAATTAGGTATAAAGGTGTTTAACAAAATTGGTGTGTTTATTTATGTCTTTTTCACTGTCCGCGAAAGTGTTAATAGACAAAGGTTCGTACCTTCTACTACTAGGTTTACATAATTGTGTTGATTTCTTTGAATCTTTTTACAGTGACCTTTTACAGCTAATCGATAATAGTGACTGGTCACCGCAATGAAATATTAATATGATATAGTGTCAATGTATTTAAGTAGCATATTAATAAGTATGTATATATAACTGATAGTTTAAATAAGGTAAATTCAAATTCCTTTGATGAAAAAATAGCATTAACTTCAGCGAAATCATTGTTTAGTCAGTGCTCGTAAATATCTCCAACGCGACAACTCTTGAAATATCAATAAAAAAAATTAAAACATTTAGACAGGTACGTTTTTAGAACGAGCAATTTTTTTAGTACATTCCATGCGGTTGACGAATCTTTATCGGTTGGAATTATTTTGTCCATTATTGCAACGAAATGTTGAAAGATAACTAGAAACAAGGGATGCGTGATGTACTCATAAAAATGTTGACAATATATAAAGCCAGGACCATCAGCAAACGACATTAGTTCCTTTTGGGAATCAGCTGAGGATAGTAAACTAGAACTTTCAAGGTAAGAATTAATTTTGGTAACGTAGTGTATAAATTTTATACAAAGCCTTTCTTTATTCTCCAATTGAATGTTAACTTAATTTATGTACTTATTATTTTTAACATCGATAAATGTAATAATAATATTTGACGTTATAGGCACCAATTTACAACAAAATTTTGTTTATTTTTTTTTAGATGTTTAAAGTATCATCAGTACTTTTGATTATAGCTATTTCGGCCGAATATTTAATCAAAGTTTCAATGGCCGAAATGTCTTCGTCCTATGCTATGCTAGAGAAACATTCTAATTTCAAACCAGATTTGAAAACGGAACCAGTATTTAAAAAAGAAGCCAGGGCTGAGCCTGAAAAACATCCAGTTTATAAAGGAGATGAATACAGAAATGAAGGTCGAGCTAGAATAGAACCTGTGAAAGCAACAGGACCCGTTATAAAACATGAAAAGATGTTAGCTGACCAACCAATTGAAGTTAGTACCGAAGTGAACAGAATCGTAAGTATAGTCAGCACTTTATATAGATGAAATTAGAAAATATGTAACTTATCTCAACCTAATTGTAAATTCAGTTATAATTTCACTTATTGTTTTATTCATCTTTTATGAATCAGATTTAAATGTACCTTAATTTTTAGGATAATCTAGCCATTCCTGGGTATGCATATGTTGCAAATCCAGTTGAAGTAGCTTATCCTGATATTCCATATGCCCCTGGATATACATATGACACTGCGTACTCTGGATCGCATGGGTAAATTAAAAATTTTATTTTGTATATGGGTAAATGTATGTGTCTTTTACTTTTTTTCTAGCGAGAGAGACTGTCTTTTACTTGGGTACCTGTGTCCCATATGTGTTTCTGCCGTGAAACAGTTGTATTGTATGGCTGTGTTTCTGTTTGAAGAGCATGATATGACAGTGAATAGACAGGATACAGTGGCATAACACCTTAAACTTTAGGAATGGCAATGAATGAGAGGTATCATGGGCGACACAGTATTCTCTGTTATGTCCATGGTACTGTTCATGTCTATAGCCGATAGTTACCACTTTCAGCTAGTTTTCAAAAGAAATACTAATAATAAAACGATTGTTACAAAAAAAAAAATATTGTATAATTCGAACTAAAATGGAATTCTACCAAATTACTTATTTATGGACTTTTATTTTTTTGGGTGTCCTTATTTTATCAGGAATTCTGTATTTTTACAGACATGACATGTATGTAAACAGCCCAAGTAATTATTTAATTGAGCCTGACACGACTGCATTTGGGTTACTGTGGAGCCAAGTTCCTGATTCTAGGGTTCGTATTTTGTTTTTAAATTTAAAAAAATTAATAATTAAAATAGTATTTATATCTATTTATATAATATATACTATTATAAGTACTTAGATGTGTGTAATGTATGCATGTGATTGTTTGTATATGTTTTATATAACATGAGTGTTTTTTTATTATATAGGTACACTTCTTGCGCCAAAAGCTACCGTTTTTTGTTTTTTCTACCCAAAGGTTGTCTAAAATATCACAAGTGTAATATTTATATGTTTTTGTATTATTCTTTAAGAGGTGCAATACAGAATGAATAAATAAGTAAATATTTCTTAATTATAATGTTAATGTTTCTTTTTTGTAGACAATCGTCAGTTACGTCGGTAGAACTTTGGCATGGATATTTGGTAGTATGTTCGCGGTGTTCCTTGGATCACTCCTCACTGTTGGCATTTGTTCTTACACTAATCTCTGTGCTATTACCTTTAATGGAGTTGGGCCTATTCATGAAGAGATGAGAGCACTTATTTCCCCAGAGAGATTGGAAAAGATTAGTAATGCTGCTGATTTTGTCAAGACCGCTATTGATAAATATCAAAAGATCCAGACGGTTGCTGATGTAGCCGGCAATAGAAGACGTCGCTCTGTTTATTATTAATTTTCTTACATTTTCATATTTTATATTTAGATATTATTGTTTTATAGTATTATATTGATATTGCATTTTTATTGTATAATTTTTGTTTTATAGTATGTACGTATAGAATTATTTAATTTTGTATCGAGTTGTCTAAATTGAATAAATAAAATTGATATATACATATATTTTTTTTATTAATTTATATTAAAGTTCGGCAATGCGCACGTAATGCCCCTGATTTTGCAAACATTCATAGACTACGTTGGCTCCAACATAGAATAAGCCACTCCTATTCCTGTGAGTATCGTAAGAGGCGACTAATAGAAACTTAATGATAGAGGGATGGACAGTAGCGTTCCTCTTAAAATATTACTAAAAGCCTAACTGCGGTTGCCAACCCGCCTGGTAGAGGGGAAAAGGATTGTTAGTAATGGGAGTAATGGAAGGATTGTTAGAATCAGGGCGACCTCCATGCGATTCGCCCTGGAAACCATTGAGATTAATTATTATCAAATAAGTCGCGATGGGCCAATGAACCTAACTTCATTTTCACCTATCATCCCTCACTGGTGCTCCACTAATGTATACCGATAGCGCGGGCGGAGTTACCATTGCATTATCATTCATTAAAAAAAATCCGCCTGGCAAGCGTGGCGACTATTTGCAAAACTCCCCTTATGGGTATATGTTCAGAAATGAACAGTTAACGGCTGATATGATGATGATGATGACAGGCTGCTTATCATCAAATGGACCGTATGCTTTGTATACCAATTGATATAAAACATAATAAAATCAATTAAATTCTTTATTATGTATTTTACACATTTTTAACATACTTAAATACAAGGTACGTAAAATAATAAAGTAAAATTGTATGTAATTTCAATTTATTTTTAGTAAACAATAGGAATAAATAAAACTTAACTTAAGGACTAACACAATTATTAGTGTTGCATTGCATGATATTTGTCATAAGCTTTCCTCAAATAGGACTCCACGTGGTCTAAATATGGTATATTAAGAGATCTAATTCTGTTTACGAATCGCTTTTCGATTTTTAGTGTACAATATGGAGTAAAGCCACAGAAACCTATTATTAAAGCCATTCCAAGGACTACCAAGCCACCATTGACTAAAAGGAATTTGCCGACACTGAGTGCTTTAGATGCGACAGTAGTTATAGCAGTCTGAAATAAAAATTAAGATTTTTTTAACAATTTATAAATATGTATAGTATAATTAAGTTTGGATTGTTAATAATAATACTTACAATAGAATTGGTAATATAATCAAAGATGGACGATTTGGCTGTACTGTCATATTCGACAACTGGGTATTCGTCTTTGGGAATGACATGATATCTGCAATAAAAAAACATATCGTTAAATTGCTTCGTATATTACTGTTTAATAATTTGATTATTTAATAAAAATTATAATAAACTTAAAACAATCAAATACATTGATCCTGATTATAGCAAGAAATAAAATCAATAAACAATTGTAAAAAGTTTCTAATCATACGACCAAATTTATGAAAAGTGGTAATCGTTGCTTATAGCTGATAGATAAATAATAGCATAAATAAAATATACAGTATAATTTAAACTTACTTATATGCATTTGATGGGACTTCCTCAGTAGCTTTAAGAGGCTTTAAACTTCCTCTGTGCTCTGGGTATGAATAAAGATATGTTGGATGTGAAGGAACATCTGCGGAAATTTCAACTAAACAAACCGCAGCAACGATGAGAACTAAACGAGCCATCTGTAATAATAATAAAATAAAAATTACTATAAGAATAAAATGTTAAGGTGTTTTATAACTTATTTTTATAAATATACGTACGACTGTAATCCCTGATGAGATAAACATTAGTAATTGTCGATTATTACCGTTATAGGAAATGTAACTATAGAAATGTTCACATTTTGTCAATTAACACATTTAAATTATCACAGTCTTTAATGACGATCGCCTTATTGTCAAATTTATTACAAAATTATGAAAAAGAATAAATGTTTTTCCTTACCTTACTTATTATTCTATCTGAAGACCTGGAAGAACTGTATATGGTGCACAGTAAATTGTAAATGATGAAGTTCCTACAAAAGTACTGCTTAATATAACGTTACTTACATATTTTGTTAATCGAATAATCATTATTAGATTCTAATTGCGTTGCATAAATTACATCATTATAGGTAGTTAATTAGGTATTAATATAGGTATATTACAAAAACCTAAATGGTTGCGTACAACGCGGTTTCAGAGATGTTTTCTCCCACGAACACTCAGGTAATGGAATGAGCTTCCTGCCGAGGTTTTTCTAAGAGCCTACAGCATGGGGTTCTTCAAAAGGGGGCTAAAGAGGTTTCTTTAGGGTCGGCAATGCGCTCGTAATACCCTTGGCATTGCAGGCGTTCATAGACTACGGTAACCACTTACCATAAGGTGGGCCGTATGCTTGATTGCCACCTAAATGGAATATTTTTTTTATTATTACTATGAAGATAAAGTACAAAAAAAAACACACACAATTATAAGTAATATTTTTGTAAATATTAATGATAACTTTGAGCTCTGATTATATTTAGATAATAAATTGCTAAAAAGCTTACATGTTGGCTGCTCACACTTAAACGATATATCTTCTTTGAAAAATACACTTTATATCCTGAGGAGATAAAAAACATCGCTCCAAAGATCATTTTAAAATTCCTATCACGGATAGGAATTAACAGCGAACTTTTAAAAAAGGGCGAATACAAAAGATCATGGAAAGGTCGCAGTGTCACAGGTTTTTCTGTATTTCAATAATAATAATATTGTATTGTAGGCGAAATTAATTTATATGAATCTTCGACAAAAATTATATTTAATTTATCTATAGATTAAATAGTAGATGTACTCGTAAAAACCTGTATGTTAATTGCATACTGATTAATGTATGCGATTTACATTTTAAACCATTCAATATTTCAGCATTGAAAATGACCTATTAAAATATGAAGCATCCCTCGATTATTCAACGAAATCAATGATTTTATATTAATGTAATAAAATTAAGTAATGACTCTATTACCAACAGTATTTATTGACTGTCAAATAGAGTTTTGGCGCATTTAAAAAAAATCGTTACTAGTTGAAGGAGAAATAACTTTTGATTCCGTTGACAAGGTTAGTAGAATTTTAATATATTTTTAATCTAATCTATTCTATTATTGAGTACTAGTAATGTCAGTGGAATTGGGATAATTCTTATATTTGAATTATAAGTAACTTATTTCCACGCCTAATGCCATATTTATGCTTAATAGGTGCTAAAATATAAAAAAATTCAAATTATATATAATATTATAATATATGTAATATTACTATTGGATTATATTATTAACAGAAAAGTTTATTTCTATTATATTGTTTTTATTATTTATGAACGTAATAATGATTGTTACAGATGTTCAAAACCGGATTAATTGTGATGTTAATACTGGGCACAGTTTTAGCGTCCAGGGATATCGATGATTTAGAAAATGTAATCGATTATAGAGACAGTCCATATCGTGTAAGTTTTATATTTGTTTGAGATTTGTGATTAGATTATTAAAATCATACGTATTTATTTTATATAATATAGTAATAATATAAAGCATTATTGTTGTTGTTTTTTTAATACAACTTAGAATGGCATACAATTGAAAGTGAATTTTTGACAACAGAATCAATATTTGATTTTATCGTTTCTCATAATACCACCACCATCTTTGTCGTGTAAGCTTACTTTTTCACACAAAAGACCTTGGAACATCTATAACTTTTTATTTAGCACCTACTTTTAAATTTATTAACAAATTTATGTATATTCATTTTTACAGGCAATATCATTACCATATCCTTATAGAGATTCGAACGAAGAAAGATTTGCGGTAAAACCTTATTATGAGAAAAACTATGGTGAAATATTAGTTCCCAAGGTGCCAAAAGTAGTTACAATGGGGTTTTCTAAATCAGGCTTGATAATGTCTATTGTAACTGTAAGTATAAGATGAGAATTTACAAAGCTTAAATATTAATTATAATTTATTCCCTTTTTTACTATAATATTTTTTATTAATTGATGATTACTTTGAGAAATATTTTTATAAATAATGCGATTCCTGTATTGGTCTTATTTTAATTTTGTCATGATTAAAGTGTGAATTAAGTTTCAATTTTTATTTACAGTTTGCTATTACCTTGGTTAAAAAGGTATTTTCGTTCGTGTTCACAAAAGGACCGGCTTTAATAGTGGGTGGTCTTGCTATTTTAGGAATATGCAAGTTTACCCCACTCTGCACTAAGTTATGTAGTTTCAAGTCTTTAGTGGAAGTACAGAGAGAAATCAGATCCCTTGCTACACCAGAAAGACTGGCTGCGGCTACAGAGTTTGTCCAGACGGCAATAAGAAAATACACATCGTTACAAGATTCTGAGGATTAATAATATTTTTGCTTTAATTTTATTTAGATGAATAAGAATTATTTAATTCATTGTTTAATTAATTATTTTTTTTAATAAAATATTGATTAACATATTTTGATGTTTAATTAAAAATCCTAACATTAAAGACTATATCTATTTTGATATACTTATTTGTTTTGCAACTAAATTAAACTGTTTTAAAATAAATTTGAATTTATTATATGTAAAAAGAACATAAAATATATATTGTCTTATATAGTCTTGGTCTTTTGAATTTATTACTAGTTAAATACTTTTCGTGAAATTATATATATGTCGTAAATTATATATGATATCTACATATTAAACCTACTTCTAATACACTGCAAGTAGTAGTTCCTAGGGGAAAGGGACTGTTAGTAATGGGTTCTAATAGTCTAAATCGTTTGCAATGTATCAGGTCGACCTTTACGCGGTTCCCTTTTAGTACGTAAGTACGTTATACTTAGCCTATGGGGCTAACTTACCTACACTTATCTTCACTTATCGTTTCTCACTGGTGAGGCATCAGTGGATTCCAATAGCGCAGATAGAGTCCCCATTCCATATACCTATAAAAACTAGTAATTTCTTCGGACATTACCAGATTAAACCAAAAAAAAATCCTATCTTATTATTGATTTATGACATTTTAAGAGCCTTAATATAAATTTATATTTCGAGAATCAATGGACTCTTATGGCGGAAAATTGTTTTGCAAATGTTCAAATTATGTACTGTTTATGTAAATGTTACATAAACAGTGCAAAACAAAAAGGTTATTTATGTTGTAATAAGCACAGATTATTAGTGTTTAAATAAAGATAAGTTTTTAATTCAAGTTGTGATTTTAACGTAAATTATCCTAGTTTATACGTACAAAAAAAAAAAAAAACTGAAATAGAACACGTGGCACTTTCATTGAGGACAGTAAAAATAACGCAAATTTGTTGTAATGATTCAATGAAAAAAATCTAATTATCATACCATTAGAAGCTAGTATTTGAGCTTTAACATAACGTGAATTTTTTATATTGAAAGACAAACGTAAAACACGTTTGATAAAAAAATGTTTGTTGGAATAAACACTATAGGAATATAAAGAGATACACCTGTAACTGTACTAATGGAAATAGGATAAGTTGCCGCTCACATGTAGTATGAATAATTTATTATTTGTTTATGTGGCTGTTAAAAATCGAAAATTATCAAGCCTGCTGAAATATTAACATATGTATTTGATATTACGAATATTACTATAATTATAGAAGAAAATAATCACTACGATTAAATTATTTCAATAAGATTATAGAAAATATAATTAAAGATTATGTTTTACAAAAAAAAAAAATCTTCAGTTGTGACAAAATCAGTTATTTTGATTTTACAAGTAAATTATTGAACCAATTTTTATAAAATTACTATGAAACCAATGTGTAAGATAAAAAAGATTTTTTTTAAATCTGTTTAGAATTGACGGAGTTATGAAGTAATAAACATAAAAAAACCGAATTGAGAATCTCCTTCTTTTTGAAGTCGGTTGAGGAGAAATCTGGAACATTTATCACATTAATAAATAAAAGGAAAATAAAAAAAAAATAAACATAATTAAAGTATTTTATGAAAAATGTTATTTTTATTTTGATTTCACTGAGTGACTTTTAGTGGAATGTACCTGATTATATAGAATTTTTTTTTTTTTAAATACGTTTACTACCACCACATATATAATAGTTATTGTGTAATTATAATTGTAATATATGTACTGATTATACGTATCGTTTGGTCGGTGTACCTCACGAAATAGCCATTAAAAACCACCCCTATTTTTTCAATATTTTATTTGCGACTTTGTAGATCTTTGTAGTATTATAAAAAAATATTCCTTTATTATTCAACTAAAATGGCAAACAAGCAGACGGCCAACCTTATGGAAAGTGGTATCTGTCGCCTATAGACCTAAACAATACCATGATATAATAGAATATACTTTATTTATATTTTATGCCATATCTTACCCTTCAAATCGAAACATAGCCATGCAAACACAACTGCTTCACGGTAGAAATACGAATGGTACAGAGATATTCAAGCAAATGATTATTGTACAAAATCTTTCTCTGATGATGTAATATAAAGCTAATTAGGAGCTTACATGTCGCTTAAGTTTCATTCAAATATCTGTCATAATTTCGTAGAAAAATAATTTTGCAATCCCCATATTCTAAAAACGAATGAAGTTAGGGGTTTGATAATTGGCCAAAAATTATTTTCAAAAACTAGCAATATATTAAAGACATTACTGTCAAGAATAATATCAATGCAGATTTCATATGGAAACCCGACGAGATCCTTTTATGAAAATTGGTTGTTAGGGCCGAACGTGCTAGGATTTAACAATGATAGAAACAACACAAAAAAGTACAAAAAAGTTCAAAGACCGTCTTTGGTGTTTTTATAAATAACCTAAATATATATTTTTATATCTATACCTATTAATATTATAAATAGAAAAGATTTAATTGTTTGTTTATAATCGATAAACTCAGAAACAACTCAATCTAATTTTTATTTTAAAAATTCTTTCACCTGTAGAAAGCTACATTATCAGTCAATAACATGTATTAATTTAAAAAATTATATTTACTCGTGCTAAGCCTGACTGGATCGGCAAATTATAATAGTAAGGATAAGAATGTAAATCTATTGATAATACAATATTATTGGGCTACTGAGCTGGTATGACAGCAGCAGATAAGGTTATATGTAACAGCGACATCTTATTGTGTGAGGCCTTGTAGAACTTCTTAATAAGTAAGTAGTTAACTAAATGATGGACATCAGAATCATATCTTTTTTTAATTTATAAAAGAAAGAAGAAAATTTATAAAAGAAGTTGTTTTTAAAAGTATTTATAAGATTACTTATTTAAATTTTACTAATATACTCGTAATAAAATTGTAACTAAAAGTTATCTGTACACTAAAGATATTTAATAAAAAAATGACAATGGGGGTTTAATAAAATCAATACATGCCAAAACAAAAATTTTTTGAATTTTTATCTGTCTGTCTATATGTTTGTTTCGGCATCACGCAAAAACTACCACATCAATTTGGATACAGTTTTCAAATTCGTATTCCTGAAGATCTAACTTTGAATCTAGTGTATGTTTTATTGTGATACAATATTTAGTGTGACACAAATTTGATTTCGTAATCATAAGAAAAATCTTGGTTTCGGTCATCTAGATTGCATATTATAGGGCTTTATGAAACGTCAAGCTCCGTCTACGGGATTTCGTTTTACGATTTCGTTATGAACATATTTCATTTGTATACATCAAATTGGGGTTCGCAATTTCGGAATAACGGTACAAATAATATAAAATCATGGTCAAATTACGTATCTATATACACGTATAAATATCCTTTAGGTATAAATAATTTATGACTATTTAATTCAGCGGCCGAATAATATTAGGGCATTTTTGTAATTGTTTCAGTATTTAATTATGTAATCTGTCTTCACATTATATAATTTATATAATAAGGAATGAATCATATCAAAAATACTCATTACATTAAGCACACAGGCAAATTCGGATGTTACCTATAGCTAATCTGACACTTATTAGATATTAATATAAATGAAGCGTATTAATAAATTTAAGTGTTTTGTAATCACTTGCAGTTATTGCAAAGTAGTTTTTAAAAACGAATGATTCATAATTTATAATTACTTCTGAATGTCCCTTACATAAATTAAGTTTAATTGATTCTATTCTCTATTACTGAAGCTTAGCTAATTACTGTATTATAGCATAAATACAGTGCCAATTTTTGGCATTTCTATCATTCACTGACATAGGTGTCTTCTGTGAAGTGGTAGCAAGCAAGTAGAGAAATAAAAATTCAAATTATATAACAAAGGTAAGAATGTTTTTAAAAAATTTGGATTTATTATTTATAACACAAGTTATATATAAGTTTAGTACCTACTACTAAAGTTATAAGTATGTAACTTATATGTTATTTGTATATAATATGACTTTTAAGTACACAAAAGATCTAAGATTAGTATTTTTTTTTGTTTTAAAGAATTCCATTAACAAATAATATTTTTTTAATCTATTTTCTCTTATTCTAATAACCTTTTAATATTTATTTGTAGATGCTGCATGTACTCATATTTCTTGGCATTACTTGCTGCATAATCGCTGCTAATCCAGTAGCCATCTCTAATCGTCAAACATCACTGAAAGATGTAAGTAACATATGTATTTTTTTATTTTAATTACTGTTGTTCATACTTCAGTCAGCAATATTATATTAAGAAATATGACTGGAAAGTAAAAATACGAGCTTAACTCTGCACGAGTTTTCTTCCTGTAAACCCAAAGTAGAAAGAAGAATCAATGATATTAATATTTAACTTGGTAGATTATATAATATTACATTTCTTTACAGAATTTTGCACAAAAATTAGAGTATATGGATGTAAAAGCTTCAGAAAATGATTTGGCGAGAATATTACCTGATAAAGCAATGCTGTTTCTGAAAGTAGTGAAAGTTATTAAAGGTCTTGTTGGACATAAAGTGGTAAGTGTGCATTGTTTAGGGACATATATACATTAATAGTTAAGTATAACAAACTTAAAAAAAAAAACTAAAATTAATGAGTATTAATGTATAAAATTTTGATAAAATAGTACATGACTGCCATTTTCTTTTTGCTATTTTCTTATGCAATTGGCAAACGAGCTGAAAGAGTACACAATTGAAAGTGGTAACTGCCGTCCATTGCCTGGTTTTTCCTTAAACAAGGCTCAAATGTGTTACAAGAAATCAGTCCAAAAATATCTGATTAAGGGAACACAACCCAGAATATCCATTCAATTTAGAGACGTTTATTTTTTTTAATAGACCTAGCCGAGAGTTGAACCTGATATCTTATGAAAGAACTCTTACTCAAGACAAATATTATATTTTATTACATTGCACTGTATTATGTATACAGTTAAAAATATGTTGATGTCAAAAATCGACTACTATAAATAAAATGTGTTTATTGTTTTTTCATGGATTCCAACAAAATATTACTTAGTTTGATGTTTATATGATTGGGTTGTCCATTTAAAACTTAAGTGTTTTAACCATTTTTTTTTATTTCACAGTCCGTAGTATCGCTTGCCGTTGGTGCTATAAAATGGATAATCTCAAATGCAGTGGTCATCGCGATAGGTGCAATTATCACCATAGGATTTTGTAAGTTCACTGGCAAATGTTCGCTGTCTTATGAGGAATATATACCGGTTGCGCAACTCCATACTTTTGTTACCCCTGAAAATTTAAAAATCGCTGAGAGGTTCCTTGTTACTGCTATGGAAAAGTACAATAAGAAAAACTAAGGTAGAGCGTTAAGAAATTTGTAAAATTGTCAATAGGATTAATGTTGTAGAATTATGTATTTAATAAATTATTTTATATCAAATTTATTGTTTTAATTAAAATATTTAATTGTCTTTGATGTTTCGGTTAAAGTTAGCAAAATTAAATAAATCTATCAAAATAATTTATTAATGTATAAAGTGTTGAACAAATGTTCAGTTTTCGAAAAATAAATAAGTTGGCTCGTATTAAATAAAAAGTAACATAACACGGGTTTCTATTTAGCAATTAGTGTTCTGTGAGTGATTATCAGATAACCGTTATCATAATGATGATCTGATTCATATTATGATAAATCTTCAAAAATTTGTAGTACGCTTGACAAATTTAAATAAAATCGGTCAAGTGAGAGTTGAACATATTTTTTGTCTAACCTTGCTATACAGCAGAATATTATTGTCAATACTTATTATTTGAAAATGGAATATAAAATGCCACACATAAGCCTAAGAGGTTTAAGTGATACTAAAAATCCAGAAATTTTTTGTACGTATCACTCACTCTTCTAGGGTTTTGTACATAAAATAGTCTGTAAAAAAGTTATTGCTTTCTTTAGATAAAAAAAAAAATCGAATTATACGTATATAGTATACTATTTTAATATGTCGTACATCCATTGTTGCTTCTACAATAAAGCGAAACAACAAGAGAAATAAAATTAATAATTCATTACAAGACAAACGTCCTGTCAAAAGATCGCAGTTAGTATAATATATAAAAATCAATTGGTACATGAGCAATTTAAGTAAAGATTATAATGCAAAGCTATTTAAGTTTCCTGTAAGGATATCACATTACATAGCATAGTTGATTGCATAGCTGTGTTTCGGTTTGAAGGGTGGAATATGGCAGTGAATTTACAGGGTACAGAGGGTATAACATCTCAGTCTTCAGGAATAGCAACGCATGGGAAGTATCATGGGCGAAACAGTATACTCTGTTATGTCCATGGTACTGCTCATGTCTATAGGTGACGGTTATCATTTTCCATCAGGTGAGCCGTCAGCTTGTTTGCCGTTCTAAGTTACATAAAAAAAGACTCTATGATATCTATAGTACTATTTCATATTTATAGGCAGTGGTTTTTCTATCAGGGTAGCCGTCAGCTTGTTTGCCATCCAAGTTATATATTTACTTACAAAAAAATTTTTATATCCATTTTCCATAAAAAGAATTTTGGATAGTACTTGTCATTTTTTTATAGAGTAAATCAGCGTTGGGGTCCCAATTATAAATTTTATTACTATAGCGATTGCTATTTTAACAAAATTTTAAATTATCTTTCAAATTAAAACAGAGGCATTTGAAAAAAAAAATGTATAATAAAAATAAAATGAATATTTTAAATACATACTAACATTTATTTATAAAATTAAAATAGACTTAATCTACCAGATAATTTCGCAATTTCTCCCTTCGTCTTATATCGTGTCGAGTTTATTTGTAATTTGTGTTGCAAGAAGTGATTTCTTTTTCGCAATGATACTATGCTGTCCTATAACAAATTTTGCACCCTAAATTTCATCTACAACTATAATGTGTAAAAAATTGTTTGATAAAGTTATTGAGATCTGGTATGTATTTATATCTTTATTCATACGATTATAGTATGAAGTACTTTACAGAAGATTATTAGGTCACCTTTAGCTCTACTAAGGTGACCTAACTACGCACGAAAGGCGGTTTGGCTGTCTTAATATGTATTGTCATATATGTATAACTATATCTGTCATGAAATGAAATAGTCAACTGAATTTTTATATTCAGTGATTAAAAACATACTTAAAATATTTAATTTACTGAAGGAGATTGAATTTATTTAAATAAGATAAAAAAAAATTAACATCAATTTTATAAAAGTTTTCGGAGTATAATAGACAATACAAAATTCAAAAGTTAGTAGTTACCTACTAGTAGGTACATGTAGATAAATAAGTACATGTAAGTAAACACATGTCATGTAAATACATGTCATGTAAATACATGGGTATCGTAAGATGCGACTAAGGGAACTTAATGATTGAGGGATGGGCAGCAGTGCCTCTCTTGAAACATGCGGTTTTCAAGCTGCCTGCCAAGCGTAGCAACTACTGGCAAAACTCCTGTTATGACTAAAGCCTGTGTTTTGCAGTGGAGAGTTAACGGCTAATATAATGTTGATGAAGTAAATACATGTGTTTATTTACTTATACAAAGTACAGCAAGACTAGATTACAAAGTATAGCAAGGGCCCAAAACGAGAGCAAATCCCAACAATTGCAAAAACAACTATCAAAATCTGTTTAGAATTAACGAATACCATGTAACATACAAACATAAAAACAGGAAAATTAACAAACTCCTCTTCGAAGTCGTTTAAAAAAATCTCTGGCTATAGATAGCGACAAGTCACTGACATATATTGAGGTACCTACAAAAGCTTACCTCAACATCGTTATCAGATTGCGTGTCGTCATTCCACAAACAAGACTTACGTTGTGATGTATTGTCGTAAAAATGTGCTTATAAATACTATTATTTTAGCATATAAACTCGTTAATGACACGCGACTTTCTTTTCTATGAAAGTACTTTAGGGCAAGATATTAGAAGAAATTGGTGGAATTAATCAGTATTATGAAAGACATCATTGAAGTCATAATAAAATTATAAACTTCTTTGTTAATTTATGTATTAATGTAATATCAAATAATAGGGATATAAAAATTTATTGGACAACAACCTTAATAACAATTGGGTATTATGTTTCCTTGTTGTTGTTGAAAAATGTTCAGTTTAGCTTAAATGGTCGTTTTTGATTTCGATCCACCCTGTAGATATAGTTAGATGTTGACCTAATAAACGGTATTAAAAATATTAGGATCATGTACATTCTTATCATTAATAATCTGTGAACTACGCATGCAATATACATTTTGGTTGTTAAGGATTATCTATTAAGAACGCCTGATGCTACATGAGTCATGAGTGTTGATTGTCAAAGTAAATGAGAGCATGTTTTGAGACAGGATGTGGCATAGTTATAAAATACTAGTTTTTATCTGCAGCTTCGCCCGCAAGACCGGGATATGTTGGTTGAACGGTATCAAATGTTGTTCATGTTCTTTTTTGTTTCAAATGCTACGTGTATTTTTAACAATTTATTTTTATTTTTTGATGAAAACGGATAGACCAAGGTCGTGGTGATATCATAAATATATATTTAATTCGTACTTACAATTCTGATATGAGTCTGTTTATTATGTAAGTAGGTATTTGGACTTGTATTTAGATATGGAATTTCTACTAAGTGCTTAGTTAAAATAGATTAAAACTCGTATTTATTACTTACTTGTTATTCTTTGTTTGGATTCCTTTGTTTAATATTTAAAGGATTATTTTTTAAACTACGCAAATGTTTTATGATGAACTAAGGCAGGACGTAAAAATAGATATGCGGTCAACGTACATTCATACAGGGCATGTGTCATTGTCGCCTTATCACACAGGTGACTACATTAACAATGTTTACAGCAGATATCTTACAACAGTTGTTTCACTTTCATATTATGTCTACCCGTTAGTATTATCAAGAGCATGCTAAACGAATCACGCTATCATACAATATAGCAATATTAATTATACAGATCTAATCTTTCCGATTATCAGTTTGTTAAAGTGCTTATATTGGAGGATCAGTGGCGAATGCAATCTGTCAGATTTGTTTTGCCTTCAAAATGGGTAACACGAAAAGTAAGAAAGTGAAAATCACCTGTGAAACGATTGAGAGTAGGGAGAATGTGGAACGCATAAAGAAAATTAAAACTGAAGGAACAGATGCAAGTGGCCGTTATGCCGATAAACGTGCAGATCGAGGGACGAAACGAGAAAATGATAATGCAAGCAACGCGTCGACTGTGGAAGCTTTGGATTAATTTAAGATTGGACTAATGATTTGGTGATTGTGAAGTCTTCTATTATGTGAATATTTTAATTTTTATTAATATTTATTTAATATATAATTTAAGAAACATAAAAGTAAAGAAGACCTCAATGTTAGAAAAAGTGTTAAGATAGAAAAATATGTCGTAGAAATAAAATATTAAGGTTTATACTTCTGGTGTTTGAATTTTATTTAATATATATAAAATAAGGTGTTTTCATATTTTAATTAAAAATAAATTAGAAATCCTTATATGTGCTGAATACATCTTGACATATTTAATGTACTATGAAGTAGCAGTATAGTAGTAAAAAATACATCATGCTATTAAATAGGACTTGTACTATAGAACCTTGAGTAAAATTACATGGTATATGATACTAAATATACTTCAGCTATCTACAATTGCAATGTAATGTACATGAGAAAATGTGCATTAATTATCAATTAGGGCTCTAATACCATATTATTTATACGTCATAATTTAATAAGGCTAGTTCAGTAACAAATGTTTTGGTTTACTATGGTAAATTCTTTGCTTTGGTTGAGTCATTTATAATTTTTGAACGATTGAAAAGGAGGAAATTTTTAATTCATCTGTAGGTAATTGATTTAATATTATGCAATTCTGTAGCCAATTCTTAGTAGATTTTATTAATTTATTAGAATATCTACAGGGTTTACTTCGTTGTTGTTTTTATATAAATATTTATAACTATTAATGTTGTAGTTTTTTTCTTTTTGGAGATAAAATCTTTTTATTGCAAAATAAAATCTATTTTTAAACCCATGCACCCACGTAGTATTAATAATAAGACTTTGTACAAAAGTCGATTGCTTGGGTACCTTTGTACCATTCGTGTTTCTACCGTGAAGCAGTTGTGATTGCATGGCTGTGTTTCGGTTTGAAGGGTGGGATATGGCGTGAATTTACAGGGTACAGAGGAATAACACCTGATCCCTCAGGAATGGCAACACATGGGGGGTATCATGGGCAAAACAGTATACTTTGTTATGTCCATGGTACTGCTCATGTCTATAGGCGACGGTTACCACTTTCCATCAGGTGGGCCGTCAGCTTGTTTGCCATTCTAAGTTGTAGAAAAAAAATAGTTTTTAATTTATTGTCTTTATAAAAGATCACGTCGTTCATAAATAACTATGTATATCAAAATTTGTATTGTTGAATAAAATATGATTTCATATAAAGTATATACGTCAACATCATATGTAGCAGTATTTTTTGATAACAAATGCATCATGTTATATCTCAGTAATTTTCCAGAACTAAGATTATGCTGTATATATATAATAACACTATTAGAGCGTAGGCATCTGTGGTTATGTGAAATAAATGGGTTTCATAAAGTTGAACTATCATTAAGTCTTACAGCTCTAATAGAACCGCCCAGCGTTACTATGGTTACCATGGACATAACATGACTGAGGGCAATCATAATTCTCTTGTTATAAATCAGTTGTCGTCGAGACTAGAGTTGATATCGTGATTCTACCAACCACCCTGTGTTTTACAAACTGTAAAATTTCACTTTGTCTTTTTATAAAAATCGACTAGCTTTTGTGCTTCTAAATGTAAATAAAAATAATTTAATTCTAAACTGTCTATGTTTATGTAATAAACTTGATATTTATTTATTACTAGTAAATACTTTTTAATTTGCGTGTTAATAGAATTCTGTTCAAACTGGGTCAATGTATGGACAAAACTGTTGTCGAAAAAATTCAGTCCGCAAAGTGAGTTGAAAAATATTGTACGCTTACAATTTTTTTACTTATATATCTATAAATTCGATAGGGAAATGATTTTATATATATATATTTTAATATCTTAAATTGTTGAAATATTTTTTAAAGCTTCCATATATTTTTATTTCTATGATAATATAAGAAATACTTTTAACTTAGATTACCATTGAAATTAATAAAATTATGAAAAACATGATTTATATACATTACTTTTAGTATGTTATTCTATATTTGTTACATACCTAATTTAAAATTATTTTATCTTATAAACTTTACTTATTATTTCAGTAGTAAAAAAAGTAATAAAAATTGAAAATGGCAAGTTATTTGAATATTATTAGCGTGATTCTAATTATAAATAGCATAGGGTAAGTAAAAACATTATAGCTTTATGACTTGGTGGTGGCAATTTGAAAATCATCCATTACTAAATATGCCATTACTAATATATTTTATAATCGCATTGAGTAATTAAATATATTTACTTTAGAATATTTCAATTATATAAAAACTTTTACATTAATTGTTTTCACATATTTACCAGTAATAATAATATTATTAAAATTATTTGACGATAATAATATAACTAGTTACAATTATAATATATAAACAGATATTATAGTAAATCTAATACTAAACTTATGTTAGAAAAATAATGTCCAATAATAATTGAATCATTTATTATTTATAGTACAGATTTTTAAACCAAAATAAAATAAAACTGATTATAATATTCATTGATATGATAAATTAATAAATAGTGACCCATATTGTTTCAAAATAGTAAAAATGTACCAAGTCTATAGTCTAGTTTTATTACAATAGGTAATTAAGAATTAAACGCAATTCAATCAACATGGGGTGGTGTGACCGTGGGATATTATTAGTGGTAGAGATAACAAGAATTGTGGTAGTGTTTATTGATATGTACATCATCATCGTCATCATTACGTCAGCCGTCAACTGTCCTGTATAAGCCTCCCTCTATTAGGGGTTTTGCCAGTAGTTGCCAGGATGGGCAGCTGTGTTGCCAACCGCAGTTAGACTGTGATGTTTTAAGAGGGACACTACTGCCCATCCCTCCCTTCCCATTCTTAAACTTCCTTAGCTGTTTCTTATGACTCCCACTGCAAATAAAGGGATGGCCGATTTTGTATTGGGATCACACCGTATCTGTACATGTACAAAGTAAAATATATTGCGCCTACTCAAAAATAATGAAGAAAAGGCAATGGTACTGTACGAGATCAAGTTTATTCATTACCATTTATATAAAACATACGATATTACCATTTACTTTATTTATCATTTACCTCACTAAACTAGTGACATGCAATTAACTTATATCGCGTGAACGTGAGGTTAGTACATGGTTATTCATAGATGACATTGTAAACTGCACATACTTTCCCATGTCCTTTGTATTAATATTTAAGTATGAAATACTAATACACAAGTGTACTAATGACTAATAAATTTAAGTGTGACTATTTCTCCATAACTGCGTTGTATAAGTGTGATTATTAAACTAATTTGGTGTCATGTTATAATTGAATATTCTATTCCTCTAATTCATATAAGACCCACTTTAAAATTTAGCGTGTCCATTTAAATCTCGGATAACTCTCCAGTGATGATAAATACTCGTACATAGGAGGAGATTGATAGTAATTGGGATCAGCAATCTTTTTGCTAGCAATATACTCTATCAGGTCGACCTTCATACGGTCCCTCTCTGTAAACCATTGTGGTTAATTCCTACAGTATATACCGATAATGGAGGCAGGGTTGCCAGTTTATCATCAGTCGTAAAAAATAGAAGACTTACTCCCTTTAAATTTTTAGATTCAAATATGCTCGACGAAATATGATCACATCCATTGTTATATTAATTTTAATTATAATTATCAAAATTTTCTCCAACCATCTGTTTTAATAATTAGATAAAGAAATATCTAAACGATCTTTTAATAAAATCATAATATTTTGCTTCGTATTTCAGCAACGCGGTTGCCCGATCTAAAAATAGTAGAATGCCTGTCCAGCCTATCAAGTTGTACTACTTACCACCGTCACCACCATGTCGAGCTGTAATGATGACAGCGAAGGTCCTGGGTTTGGAGTTGGATTTAGTGCTCACCAATATTATGGAGGGTCAGCATATGACACCGGAATATATGAAGGTTTGGATTTTCATAAAATATATATTTTAGTTAAAGGGAATGCAAACTTTGTACTGTTTTTGTTTCGCAAGTAGTTTAAAAGGTTTTATTTAGTTTTTATTGAAGAGCATGAGTTTCTTAGTCAGTTTACTACCATTAGTCAAGAGGTAAATCTCATAAATAGTGTAGCAATTAAAAAAAACATGTGCCATTAGAGCAATGTATGAGTATCTTCTTTTCATTAATTAATTTTGACGCCAAATAGCTGTGCGTGCATTACTGTGTTTTAGTTTAAATGGTTAGAAACGCTGGGCCAGATTAACTATAGCGAAGCCCACAGGCAGGCAAGGCAATGCACGTCTTGCTCCTAAAATAACTGCAATAATTCTGTATATATAATAAATTGAAACACGTTAAGAAATTTACTGAAATATGACGATGTAATATAAAGAAAAATAAGAATAATATTGATTTTTATATTTTCAAAGATGAATCCCCAACACACTATACCAACTATGGAATGAGAAACGGCTTCATGTCCACGGTGTTGTAAAGGCGGGGGGAATAGATTGCTGGTAATGAGGTCTAACTATCCCCTTGTTAGCAATATACCCTATCAGGTAAGTATTGATTTTTTAATTATTTCGAGTGACTAAATCTATCATCTCTCACTAGAGCCCAGTCAGTATATACCGATAGCGCAGACGGGATCACTATTCCACTTTCACCCATTAAAAAAAATTTTTGAAGGCAAGAGTCATTTTAAGATTATTATTAATTATATGATCTAAAAATTGAAGTAGTTTTTAAGTTATTGCAGTGATTTGCAGATTGTGATTTTTATTTTTTCAGATGAATCCCCAACACACTATACCAACTATGGATGACAACGGCTTCATACTTTGGGAGAGGTAAGTATTGATTTTATTAGTTTTAATTATTTCGTGACTAAAAGTTTGAACTGTTTTGGAAAATTATTTGTAGAAATTGGTAATCGAGTTCTTTGCCTAATCGTCTTTTGATATAAGATGAACTTTTAAAAAGTATTATAAAGAGGATCCTTCAAGTGGTAAGATTCAGATTTATATAATTAAATATTAAAAAAAAATTCTAGTTCAATAACTATAGCATGACATTATTCAATAAAAATCTTTACTAATCGCCAAAGTAACCAGATGCACTCTTCTTAAAAAACTAACCTGAATTAACTTAAAACATTCAACATCTAACCTCTCTTTATGGGGGAGGCCTATGTTCAGCAGTGGACAGTTAATGAATGATATGGCCAGATTGGGAGTGATTACGGAAATAATTGTGAGTAGAGAAGAATGGAAGAGAAAAACAAATTACGCCGACTCCAAATAATAATTGGGATAAGGGTAGGAAGAAGAAGAAGATGATGATGATTATTCAATATAAAAAAAAATTACATAACATTTTATTTATCTAGGAAAAACTTTGGAAACTAATAACATGGACTGATATACTTATTTTTATGTATAACTAGCTATATCCCACGGCATCTCCTGCATAAAGTATTTTATGTACTAAGTTAGGGATAACCTACCCATGTACCAAATTTCATTCAAATCCGTTCAGCAGTTTTTACGTGAAAGAGTAACACATCCATCCATCTATTTATTCTCATAAACATTCATATTTATAATATTAACAGGATTTAAATTATTCATAATTTGAAAGTATATAACTATTAGATATTGTATATAACGAAGCAGGGTTGTGTCAGCCTGATTTTTTGACATAGTGATGTCAGTATTACTGACCTCACTTTATTTGTCTTGGTTCATCCTTTATTTATTTGTAACTATAACATACTATACGTTTCTTATTTGAACAATCTTTTTTCATTACTTTCCAATTACACTTAGGTATAGCTATCAGGCATCAGTACTGAAGTGTATCGGTCACTATTCGACTGAATATTCTGTTTTTATACTCTTTTATCTATGTTCGATTGCATGAATGCTTTTTCCGTTGAAAATAGAGGGCGCTAGTTTTGCAAATAATTCAAATGCGCGCTCGTGAACTCGCTCATAGTTTCACAACTTTGTATATTTATTCTATTTATTATATTACAACTTTCTAGAAATAACTAAGTATTACAAATTAAATGATTTATAAACATGTTGAACCTTAAAATTGTGCAATTGTTAATTTAATAATGTGTTCTAGTAAAAATACTGAACAGTCATTTGAATACCTTATTTTTCTTTTACATAAGTGAATACAGTTATAATTGTTTAGTATATTGTAAAACATTGATATTGATTAATTTGTTAGTTTCATACATTCAAATACTAAATATCTCTGTTTGTAGCTAAAGGAAATACAATCACTTATTTCATTAATTTAAATAGAAATAATAGTCAAATGAGAATTCTAATTTCTGTTTGTAGCAAAAGGAAATACAATCATTTAATTTATTTTCATCGCGAATTATCTTTATAATTTAATAGAAAATCAATTGCGTTTATGAAAATTGTAAATTGTACCTTATGCAATTGTATCTTTCTTAAATAAATATATTATTATTATTATTATAAAATATTTTACATTTATTTACAAAGACAATATCAAGTTAATTTTTCCTCGTTCACAGCTATAGATAATAACGCTTGCGCCGATATATGTGTATATTATTGGGAGGAAAGGGATTGTTAGTAATGGAGACTAAAAATCTCATTGCTAACAATATGCCCAACCAGGCCGACCTCCTCGTGGTTCCCCTGGAAACTATCATGGTTAATTTCTGATGAATTCATCATGATGGGCTAACTGGCCTGTTTTCATTCTCATCAATCACCAATCACTGGTGTTCCGCCAGTGTATCCCGTTAGCGCAGGTGTCCATTTTCACCCATTAAAAAAAATATGTATATTATTTAATACGCATTATTAAAAACAAATGCTATTTGTTTTAGTCGTGCAATAATGGCATATTTGGTCAATGCCTACGGCCGGGATGACTCTTTCTACCCCAAAAATCCTCGGCAAAGAGCTATTGTCGACCAACGGCTCAATTTTGATATCGGAACTTTGTTTTTAAGATATGTGAACCTTTATGTAAATATGAACTTTTTATATAATTAATATTTTTTATATTTTAATATCGGGCATACTTAACAGTTAATGTTGTTGATAAAGCAGCACTTAATTTTGCATGTTATAGCATGGTTCGTGTGACAGGTGACTTTTGACCATTGAAAGAATTATTAATACGTAATTTATAATTAATATAATAAACGTAAAATAAAAAATAGTTGTATTTACATGTTGATCATGAGAAAGTATGAATTACGTTTATTAGGGTGACTTCTGATATAAAAATATCACTCAATACATAGGTACTCTTCTACAACATCTAAAATATATGTGATTTTACGTATTATTTATTAACGATCCGGCCCGGTTTGCAAGGATAGGTAGATAGAAAGATAAGTTCATATTCTATATTAGTTTTAATAGGCAATTTTTTTGATATTTTGGGTTACATTATTGTAATTTTTATAAGAAAATCTATTTTTTTAATAAATAATTGTAATTTTTAAGTTTATCAATTACAAAAAAAATAATACTTACAGATTACAAATCTGTAACTTTGTATAGTTATATATTACTCGCTGGCTGGATTGAATGAAATTAGATACGCAAGTGAATAGTATAGTATAATTAAAGTACTTTTTTTACTAGATTAAGCAGGCAAAGCCACTATATATAATCTGTAAATAAAAAAAAATAAGCTTAGATACATTGCACATTATATATTTTTTAATCTTGTTTTGCAAATTTAAAAATATAAAAAAATAAGACCGCCTTTTATTGATAAATTGTACATTTTTTTATGTTCGTTATTTCATAACTATTTTTTTTTCTTATTTTGTCTGAAAGAATATGTTTATCTTGTTTGTTGTCAAATTTAAAGTTTGTTTAATTTGTTATCGGAAAATAAATATATATGAAACAGACTTTTCATTAAAAAAAATCAAATTACTAAAAGGCTCTATAGACTTACCCATTCAATGGATATATGCACATTTTAGTTTTATTTCACATCTAATTTTGGTATACATTATAAATTTTATCATTAATTATATATATTTTTTATCTTCTTTAAAACAAGATATTTTTTTAAGATAGTTTGCTTTCATTCAGGTACCGGTTCTGTTTAAAGGAGATGAAATGGAGCAAGAGAATATTGATAAAATGAATGAGGCACTTGGATGGCTAAATACAATGTTAGATGGGCGCGCTTTCGTTGCCGGTGATAACCTTACCATTGCTGATATCTCTATTATTGTAACTATTACTAATTTAGATGTAAGTATAAAATAAAATATTTTTTGAATTAATCAGGTAACATAATAATCACTTCTTTTATCTTAGGTATTACATGTTATATAACAAAAAGATCTTTGAATCTAAACTTTGAAAAAAAATTGAGAGCTAAAATTTAATCTATATTAAATTACAAAAGACTTGTTTTAAAATATTAATATAAATTATTATGTTTAAATATATTAATTATTTATTGTTATGGATGATTACTTTACCATATTATCATATCCAAAGTACCTTAAAGCTTGAAGATGAAGCTCTTTAACCAGTACGTGTTGCCGGTGATGACCTATGGTATCGTAACATGGCTCTACACGGGTGCCTGTACGTAAAGGTTTCGCTCAGTAACAGTGAGATAAAAAAAGGGTTATGTTCGAAAGTTTCTTTGCGTGGCAGAATCAGGAATGAGGATATTTGTAAAATAATCAAAGTGACCAACATAGCCCGAAGGATAAGCAAGCTGCAGTGGCAATGGGTTGGTCATAAAATATTCAAAAAGCACGAGACCTTCTACAATCTGATGTCAATGTCCTTCTTGAATGGTGTCATGATGCCGGATTGATATTAAATCCAATTAAAACACAACTTTTGATCATAAAATCACCCTATTTAAAATTTCGTCCTCTATATAAACCTATCATTGCTCACAACCACAAGTGTCTACATATAACTAATGAAAGGAACTTTTGCAGCTGCCCCGCTATAACGGTCAAAGACAGCCAAACATATCTTGGCTTAACTATAGATAGTAAGTTTAATTGGAGTAAACACATCGAAAAAATTTGTAACAAATTAAGACAATTTTTGGCTAATATAGTCATCCTTAGACACCGAATTCCCTTTAAGGTAAAATTGATGTTGTATAATTCATTGGTCGAATGTTCAATATGGGTTGTCAAGTATTTATTTAAATGATATTTTTAAATAAACGTAGAATTTTAAGAACTATTGTATCTCCCAAAATTAAGATGCAGTATTATGACGATGATACTGGTCTTTTTCGACATTGCAATATTTTACCTGTACATCTACAATTTAAATACACATTTCTTAAGAAAACTTTTTTAACAAAAAATATTGGAATGAAATTAATCATGCTGTATATACGAGGGCGGTCGCACGGAAGCAACTTTGTACCAATAGCGCTCGCGTAAATAACTGTTATGGTGAGCGTACGGCTGACTACCTGGTTCCTCGATTTATTAATGAACTACCCACCGATGTAAGAGATAACATTACTATTAGCAACATCAAGTGTAAATTAAAACGATACTTCTTGCATGGTTTTAATACAGTTTAAATAATTTTAATGTATTTAGTATTAATATAAACCTACGTGGTTTCCAAATGCTAATGGAACATAAATTCTGTAACTTGTATTTTTATTGATAACAAAAGAAAAAAAAAATATAGCTCGAAGCACCAACAGTCGATGGGGAAGATAGGTTTTTAAGTGGCGGCTCCATAAAGGCAAACACAGTGTAGGACTATACCTCACTAGATCGATAAAGATATAGTAGATGCAGGTGGCTCAGGATCGTTTCTTAAGGGAGTCTATGGGGGAGGCCTGTGTTAAGTAGTGGACTGATAATGGCTTAAATGATGACGATGATTATCATAATTATTTGTTTTTATGGATAGCGTATATATTTTAGGTATATATTTTTAAAATCGATGCATCATTAAATAAATAAATTATATATATTCTTCCTCATTCACCAATACATTATTTAGATAAGTCTAAGAACTTTGATCAATGAATCACCATAAAATATTCCATGCCAGGGAAAGTATATGGTGATTTGTGATAGAGATTCTTGGAATACACAATTCAGGCACTAGTCCTTCACAACTTTGTAGTTTCTATGGTATTAGCTTAGGTGTCCCATTATACGCAGAAAGCTGTAAAATAAATAAATAAACATTATTATTATTAATTAAAAGTGTTAATTTATTTTCAGGTATTTGGATATGATTTCAGTTCATATGAAAATGTGGTGAATTGGTTTGCAAGGGCAAAGAAGACCTTGGAGCCATATGGATATAATGAAATTGATCGAGCAGGAGGAGAGATCCTGAATTCGTTCTTGAAAAAGCAATAAAATATTTAGTATAAAACATAATAGTATTTTAAAAAGTTGGCGGGAATCATGGTCACAGTTATGAATAAATATATTTTCAACACGTGAATTTTTGTTTATTATCGATAGATTTTTAACAAGTTTATAGATAATATAAAAGTCAATAATAATAGTTATACGAGTATACAAGAAAGCTAAATAACATTATGCAATGTCGAAGGTCGGAATACGAAAATAATTATCATTTTAACTATAAGCCGTGCAGTCATTTTATCTGTTTCATTTTTCATTCCACGTTATTTGAGAAATGTATTTAGGTTTCATAAAAGTCTAGCATTAGATATCGCATTATTAAACGATATATGAAAGATTACACGCCTTGCTTAATATTACTCGAGGCGTACTGGCAATTTTTTAAAACACAATTATGATTGTATTTTAAAAATCTTTAAAAAACCAATCGTCTGATCCTTAAACTAAGATACCCTATGTTATAAGTAACCATGCAACGAATATCTGGGCATATAACCTACTATACCAAGACTTGAATCAAATCAAAAAAATAATTTTTTTAAATTGGGCTAACTGGGAGTCGATTCCGGGAACTTATATGGATAAAACAACATATTTTCCACTGCGCCATGGAGACCAACTGTATAAGTGTATAGTATACTTTGTAGTAAATAGTCCGTACTCTGTGATAGATGTCGTATGTATTTCAGTGAAACAATGTGGACAAACAATAGCTCTATAGTATAAAGTGACTTATATCCATGGGATAAGACAGATAAGGCAGGATGGTGTATCAATTACTTATATTCTCATTCTGATATTACATTAGCTTTTGCAAGATAAATAAATTAAGAATGTACACTTATTTTGTCCCTTTCTGTTGCCCTCTTATTGAAAATAATATTATAATGAGTAAGTAAAGAATAAAAATAATAACAACATAACAAAAATTACTAAGACAAATCTATTTAGCTGACTAAGGCAATAATATTCTCTATATAAGCATAAATATGATACGAATTTTAAAAGAAATATAATTATGATGCGGTATAGAAATGAACAAAACAAACTGAATTTAATTCTATTATTATAAAGTTTATTTATTATTATCTTGAAATCACTTCTTCTTTTTGTGTCTCTTGTAGTGTAGGTAAAGATAATGAGTGCTAAAGATTTAATTCTTTCATTTTCTTAACTCGTCTCATTTACAGGTTTTCAAAATCTCTTGTCTTTTTTCTTATTTCTATATTAGATATATGAAATGTATTACCTACTTGTATAAATGTATTTTATACTAAATAAATTTGTAAGTATTTTTTTATTTCTATTTTTAGATAATGAAAATAACAAACAAGTTGATCTATTTATTTTCGCAACGGATGCAAAGCGTTTTACACTCTTGGAATTCAAGGTTTCAACATTTCCGTTTACGCACTAAACAGTATAAAGCTACATGATTCCTGTTTTAAAATAGGTTAATCAAAGACTTATATGATACAGGATGATAGTAAGGTGTCAGTGAGCATCCGGTTGCACGAGTATGTAATGCTATTGAATAGTCAGGCATTTCGTTGTGACACAACAATGCGCCGGCGCACGCAGGCGGGTCGCGCAGACCGTTGTACGTTTTCAAAACAAACCGTTCGATTGTTATTCGAAAAATCTATCACAAAACGATTAAACAGTACATAGAATTCGCAAACAACGAACAAGTGTTGGAAATTGGAGGAACATTGTCGGTGGGCAAGTTTTCGTGAAACAATATCGCTAATGTACCTGTTTCGTACGTGATTAATCGAAGATGTAGTGTTGTGCTACAGTTGTTTTCATATTTATCTGTTGTTTTTACGTGTGAAACATGATGAAACCATTAGTAGGTATTTTCATCTTTAATGTATTGTCCTGTAAAGTTTTTTTTGGATAATTACTTTGTAGAGATTCACACTAAGAGTCAATCGAAAATTATTATACTCGGTGCAACTGTGTAAACACATTGTGACAACAAATTACATATAGGTACCTGAACATTGGGTCTGTTCTCTTAATCACCTATCACTAATGTTATTTTACATTTAGCCGGCCGATAAAATGTGCCTAATGATATAATGTTTAATTTAGAGTTAATTTCGATCTCACTGGTAAATATATTTAAACGTTTCACAAATAATTTTAAATATTCCAATTGAATCAAATATGTATGAATTTTTATTTTTAATTAAATACTTCCCGTGACTTTACCTAAGTTAGTTAGGGAATAAAGTTAGTTAATTTAGTATGTAACCTACTTGTCACCAAGTTTAATTCAAATTACTGCAACTGTTTAAGTGTGACTAATTAACAAACGTACAAACATCTGTACATCTTTACAAATTTTCACGTCTATATTAGTAAGATTAAATAAATTTATTATCTGAACATATACCATTGTTTCAGTTTTATGACATGATCATATTTGAACTCTTTAAAATAACAATAGCTATCTATACATATGATACCTACATAATTTTTTTCTTTTGTACGATTTTATAGGCAATTCATTTCATGAAATCAAAATAAAATTCACAGAACTATCCGGAATTGCTGATAACATTGTCGATCGTAATAAAACTTGTTCCATTTTCATTCTCGGGTTTCAGTTATGTAAAAGTATCGTATAGCAATAAAATTTGTATTTGTAATTAACAATAGACTGTTAATAAGTTGACATTTACGAGTATGTCACGTGGATATTACATAAAGTAAAAGTAAAAAAGGATGTTTAGGCGTTTGAGCATCGTCGCAGTAATGTCATTGTCTATCCCAAAGATTCTTGAGTTAGTCTAATCGATAACGAAAATTTAAAAAAAATATTCAATTTAAATTGACATATATGAAATTTGTGATACTTAAGCATCCGATTAATTCTTTAATGGAAATGGTAGACTCATGGACTTTCCTATTATGTCAGATATAAATATGTTTGGTGATGTGTAGGCATTTGACATGCCCATGTGTTACATTCTCCATAATAGTTTTTTTATGCAATTTAGAATGGTATACAAGCTGACGGCTCACCTGATGGAAAGTAGGAAACCGTCGCCTATAGACATGAGCAGTACCATGGACATAATAAAATTTCACCCATGATACCCCCCATGTGTTGCCATTCCTGAGTACTCAGATGTTATTCTTCTCTACCCTGTAAATTTACTGCCATACTTCAAACCGAAACACAGTCATGCAAACATTTGTTTCACGGTAGAAACACGAATGGGGCAGAGGTGCTCAAGCAAACGACTTTTGTACAAAGTCTCCCTCTAGTATAGCTTGTTGGTAATAACAGCACCCTATCTGGAATGCGATTGTGATCATATTTATTATTAAAATAAATAGATTTTATTTCGGAAAACTGGAAGCCATATTATCACATTTACACGAGGATACTAATCTTACATTTATGAATATTTAAAAGTCTTATCAATCTAATTTTAAGTTTTGCATTTTGTTATTTAACTATTGGTATAATAGCTACTTTAAATATTTAAACTAGTACATGTATATATATCTTATAACACTGAATCCATTCAGTGTTATAAGATATATATACATGTACGACCTAAAACGCGTTACAGGAAGTAAAGAGGAAAGCAGCTATGAATGTTGAGTAATTGAAATGATACTGTTATAAAATATTAGGATCATTACATTATTATACGACCGTCATAAAAATTTTAGACCCGATTTCGTTGCATATCATCTCTGGTTTGATAAAAAATAGTCCAGACTGTTCATTAGGATTAGATGTAATATATTATATTCATATTACAATGCATCAAGCTAGGTTTATTCGCTTATTTCGGAAACGAAATGAACTTATGTTAGTTCATTTCATGGATCTATATCATATGTAATGGATCGAAATATTTTTGATAAAAGAAAGTGCATCACTAATACCTATTATTGGGGTGAAAGAGATTGTATTGAAAGTATTGGGGTTTAAGAATTCCATTGCTAGTAATATACCTTATCAGATCAACTTCCACGTGGCACCCTCTGGAAACCATCATGATTAGTTCCTATGTATCATCACGATGGGTTAACTTTCTTATTTTAACTTTATTATCTTTCACTGGTGCCTTGATAACGTATATCGATATTGTAAGCGGAGTTACTATTTTTACGTTAAAGAAATATCTGTTACTAAGTCTGGTCATATTGTGTTAATTTTTGATAACTTTTTCATTATCCATATTGGACTACCGATGACATTGACCATAATATGGATTAAAGTAAAGGATAAATGATTATTTAGGTATTGAATGGAATATTCTTAAATTGTTTTCACGTGGCCACAAGCGTTATGTTAGTTTCATTGTCCTTACATTTATCATTCTTCGTATCGGGATTGTTATAGTGTATTATTGTGCAGCATCCTGTCATTAGACAATTACCTATGTATAAAACTGTAATTGGAACTGTGAGTAATTTGCATGCATCAAGGATTTGTTACAAATATGTATAACTAATTTATTGTTACAGCATTTAATAGTTATAATTGGGTTAGTTACAATGGCCAAAGGTATTCGTTTTCGACCGAATCCTAGCTCAGATATATCTGCAGAAGATACAAGTTTGCAAAAGGGAAACAGAACATTAGACCAGTCTGAGGAAAGTGGCCACGAAATTGAGACAGATATTGATAACACAGACAAAAAGTTTTTAGACGATGCAATGAGAACTATTTTAGATCCAAATTCAGTAATAATAAAGAATAATGATTTAGTAGATAGTTTCAAACAACAATTAGATGTATTAGAAAAAGAAAATATTACTTTGGAAGCTTTTATGGATGAAATGGATAAATTGAGTCTAGATGTATGTAAAACATCTCAAGAATCATTATGGGCATATGTTACTGACATCAATAACGAAATGAAAAAGAACAAAATGGTACATGTATATATGAATTTTATTAATACCATATTATTATTATATTATGCAGTTGAAAGAAAATAGATATTTGTATGTTTTTCAGATTCGTATTGCCGCAGAAGAGGATGAAATTAAGAAACAGTATTGGAATATAATAAAGAAAAAATATTTATATGAAACTCAATTCACATTTGATCCCAAATTAAAGAGAAAATTAAGAATTATAAAAGAAAGAGGTACTAACGTTCAAATGCCTCAAAGCAAGGTAATTTATAATAATAATTTTCTGACATTATGTTTTTAGTAGGTATATATATTTTCTTAGTTTAATAATATTCAGCCTATGGTACACGAATGTCAATTATAATAACAGCAATATAAGTTGTGATAAGAGAATGTAAAATTTATTACAAATGTTTACAAAACGGCAATGTGTCTGAGATTTTGTACCAATTATTATAGGTTTTTTTATCCACAAAGATCCATAAAGACTATGGAGTCTTTACAAGCTGACATGAGTCTATACGTATACGATTTTTTTAAATATTATAAATAGTAGCGTCCAGTGTACTATATGTATGTGATATACAAATAATTAAGTATTTAATAATATATTTTTTTATTACGTGGCAAAGCATGAAGAATATTGACAACATTACTTTGTGAGTTAAAATAAGAAAGAAAATTATGTCTAAAATATTTTCTAATTATTTTATAAATTGTTCATATCCCAGTGTAAATAACTTAATTTATGAGTATTTATTTTTATATAAATTGGAAAAATCATTAATTTATTTTTGTTTTTTCAGCAACGAGAAGAAATAGATATGATGCAGCGTATATGGAGTCGAGTGACCGTATGTGCATACAATGCAACGGTATGCAATACGGATGAATCTGTTAAAACTATGAACGGTCAGTTATAACTATCCTAAATGCTTTTTTTTAACTGAGATAATTATTCATTTATATATTACTTATTTATATACATTATATATTTATTTATATATATTATTTTTTATTATACAACAAAACTTGAACAAATAGCGAGTTTAATCTCGTATTGCATTTTCTACCAGCTAACCATTAAGTAAAAACAGAAAATATATGACCTGATTTATAAAAAAAAAGGGATTTTAAATTTAAAAATTATATTATTAAAAAATGTAAAATATAATGTAATGCAAAACTATGCGTTAATCACTTATATCTGAGTTATTTTATTATATTAATTTTGAACTTACAATAAATTTTAAAGGTGGTTTGTCTTATTATTAAACTATTAAATAATAATTTAATAATACTTAAATAATAACTTAATTTCATAATTATTTAATTCATTAAATAATCAAGTAAAACTATTTATTTTAATTACAGATGTTATTTCTATTTTCAAAACTAGTAACGATACAAAAGAATTATCGTATTATTGGAAAGCATACCGTGATACGACTGGAAAGAAAATTAGACCAGTCTTCAAAGACTATGTAACAAGAATGAATAAAGTAGCAGAATCAGAAAACTTCACTGATGCCGGCGACATGTGGAGATATGCATTCGAAGACGATAACTTTGTACAAACAATTAATAGAATATGGCATGAAATTAAACCTCTATATGATCAAATACACAAATATGTGAGAGCCAAATTAAAGCTTTACTACAAAAATGATTTGCTAGATAACAATAACACAATTCCAGCTCATTTACTAGGTATGTTATGAATTTTTCTTTCCATTCTATATTGTTCCTCTAACTTACAATCTTACGGTCTTGCAATATAAATAATGCATGATAAAGCAACTAGTAAGCAGACATAGCGGGATTAAGCGGTGAATTAGGTTTACCTAGCTTATCGGTTGCTCATATTAATTGCTAATTTCTTTAATTTGTCAAGTGCATTATAAATATTTCATTATATATATACACTACTGATATTTAAAGTAAAATAAAAAAAAAAAGAAATATACATTAAAACAAGTTATTTAAGTTATTATAGATAATGCTCAGGCTAGGGTAGGGTAGGCTGAGGTCCCTGCTGAGGTTTTCCCTAGAGAACGCAGTATGGGGTTTATCAAAAATTTAATTCAAGATAAGGATACTTCAGGGTCGGCAATGTGCACGTGACACCCCTAGTGCTGCATTCCTTCTTCCATAGGCTAAGGTAACCGTTTAGCATTAGACGGGCTGTATGCCTGTTTCCCAACTTCATGGTATAAAAATAAACAAAAATTCAATTAATGGGAGATCTGTATTCGGTGTTGGATAATGAATAAATTATAACGATGATGATATAATGCATTTATATGCATTTTACTTATATCTATATAAAATATAATACTTTCAGGTAATTTGTGGGCGCAAGAATGGCAAGCAATATACCCAAAAGTGGTAGCATACCCAAATCATATGAGACTTAAATTACAGAGCAATGAGAGTATGCATTCTAAGGATTTATTCGATATAGTTGACGAGTTTCATCAGTCACTGGGATTCGATAGCGCTAATGACTCCTACGAAAATATTAGAGACACAATGACCACTGCGAACTGTTTGCCTTCAAGTCACGATATGTGTGACGGAGTTAACTACAAGTAATTTTATTCTTTTGTTTAATATGCAATAGATTTATTTTTATGTAATATTTAATTTTAATATATATATATTGTATTAATATATATTATATTAATGTAATATTGTGTAAATTAAAAAATATATATATATTTCTCTATCCTATATATAGGAGATTTATATTAAATTTTATACCGATTGGTCAAGCTGTTAAATAGGCAACAGAGAAATGAACTTACTTTCACATTGATTTATAATATTTGTAAGGGTTCACTTTTCATTAAAATGCTTTTCGTATACTTTTATTGCATTCTAACGTTACGCCTGTCATGTTAGGAATACTTATACTATAGTAGTTAACTATACATATTTTTTGCATTTACGAATAAATTAAAACTGTTTATATTGTTGTTTTAAAAAAATAATACATTTTTCCAGGATAAAATGGTGTGGGGAGAAAGTCACTGACGTAGTGGTTGGTTTGTCACGAGCGGCTCGGCTTTTAGGTCACGTTCAATATTTTAAGCATTATCGGCACCTGCCTCCACTTTATAGAGATGGCCCAAATCCAGGTACGTATTGTTTATTTAGGGTATTTTAAAATTATTAATTTAATTGTGATTGTGATTGAATAATAAGGTAATTAAGCCTTATATTTAATATTATGTGAAACCCAGTGTACAACATTTTTAGAGAAACAAGCATAATTAAATTTATTGGTGTGTAGGTGCATATTTTCATTTATATTAATTAAATATCTTACAGTTGATTTCATCTTTTCTTTTCTGATTTTGTAGAAACGTGCCATAGAAAGCAATTGGAAACTTTAAAACAAAATATACTTAGGTAAAAATATAGTTCCATTATTTTCAATTTACAGCGTTCCATGATGCGATATCAGATATTGTTGCTATACAGTTGACTATTCCTGAGAGTCTCAAAAAACTCGGTTTGATCAATGAAACTGGACCGGAGGTGACTGTGAATCATCTACTTTGGATTGCTCTTGAAAAATTTCCGTTGATGGCATATGCCTATGTATTAGATAAATGGCGATGGGATGTGTTTGGTAATAATACTTTAGACAAGTGGAATCAACATTGGTGGGACCTCAGGTAATAAATATTTAAACAAGAAATAACGAAAAAATGATACACATATTTAGTGACTAGAAAGGACTTAAAAAAATACTGTTGTAAAATTTTTAAAATGGCAAAGAAAGTGATGCGTCACTAGGCCAGTCTATGATTAATTTATTTATGTCTATATCTATATATATAATAATTTTTATAGTCTATCTTTAGTATTTGTGAATAGATAGATTTTCTTTCTCATTTATATATTATTAGATATATACATTTATCACGCACCATATGTTTTACGTATATGACAGTAAGTACCGGTAAATGATTACTTCAGTTCAATGAACGCCTGAAATATTAAGAATGCTACGTGCGCGTGCGTCATATACCTACATTATAACTTTTTTTTATTACTAATTTAATATTTTTAATGGCTTATATATCACATAATATTTTTTAACGTAACTAAAATAATCTGTCGTTCAATCTTGTCCTTTACATATCATTTGCTTCTCCTTGATCTTGCACAGAAGTGCCTTGACCTACAATTTCATGCAAATTGATTAAGGCTATTAAAATTTTGTACAGTATTTAACTACCGTATATGATTTTGTACTTATTATTAATTTATCTAACATTTGATATACGAGTATAACTTAAAACTAGCGCAAAAAGCTTTCTCTTCTCGTAATTTTATTTCTCAACAACATATTTTTTTCATTTTTCCAGAATTAAAGAAACCGGAGTGTCTCCTCCTGTTCCTAGAAATGAACCTACATTATAACTTTTTTTTTATTACTAATTTAATATTTTTAATGGCTTAATATCACATAATATTTTTTAACGTAACTAAAATAATCTGTCGTTCAATCTTGTCCTTTAGAATCATTTGCTTCTCCTTGATCTTGCAGAATGAATGTCATTTCATGAAATACATTGGTCAAAATAATAGAACAAATTTTAATAGATTATTTAAACTATATATTTAAAATATTATGTGCATTGAACATTTATACTGACATTCTAAAGATAAAAAAAATTATTCGTTTGTAATGGATTAACTTAAGATTATTAAACCGATTTTAAAAAAATATTCTATCTATAAAAGGCTACATTATCCGCGAGTAACATAGGCTATTAATCATTCTCAAAAATTCTATTAACTCCTGTGAAACTGGGCGGATTGCTAATATCATAGCACGTAGCAATGTTATTATATTAAATCCACTTATTGATTAATATAGCTAAGTATTGAGTATATTACAATAAAAATAAAATATTTAAACGAGACAAAGAATTTAAAATTACAAACAGTCTGGATCGAATATTAAGTAATAATATTTATATTTTCTATTTGCTCAGTTACCTGATCTCTCATGTATTGGAATTTCAAATTATGTCCTCACTTTGCAAGCGAGCTAATCATACGGGACCTTTGCATCAATGTTCCATACACGGCGTGAAGGAAGCGGGAAAATTACTTAGGTAATCTATAAATAGATCTGTCCTTACAACTAAGGTTACAATATTAATAAACAAAATAATTTGAGTCAGGATGTTTTATAATCACTGTTAGCATATGCTTCGGTGACAATTTTGTATGTATTTTAACCATTCGACAAAGAAAGATGGGTAATGTATTACACATGTTTGTATGTTGATTTTTATTATAGCATATATATAGGTTAGGCTGTCATCATGATTATGACAACAGTCGAGATATATCTCTGACTACTCCATTAAGGATTAGAGTTGTGAGCATATACATTTTCTTTTTTATTGCATGATGGATTTAAACAAATGAGGATGTCGTCAGATTCCTCTTAATTGTAGGTATGCTTTATGTTCTATGACAACAGTATATACAATGGCGGTCATATACTATATAATCTTAGATTGTGTTTCACAAAAAAATTCAATGTGACAAATCCAACTATTTTGATTTAAAAACTAAGCAACTGAACAAATTGTGTTAAAATTTCTATGGGACCAATCAGTATGACCTTTCAGATAAGAAAAAAACAAATCGGTGAATAATTGACGGAGTTATGAGGTAACAGACATAAAAAATATATACAACCGAATTGAGAACCTCATTCTTTTGAAGTCGGTTAAAAAACTTATTTTACAATAATGTTTTTTGCTGCTTGATCAGGTCCTGTATCTGATGTATGTATAAGGTTTAGCCGCTGCTTGTTTAAGATTGATGTTATCGTACATTGCGCTTTATTAATTTAATTAATAAATTATTACCAGATATTGTTTTTTATCGGTTTCAAAAAGTATATATATATATATTCTTTATTGCACTTGAACAAAAGTACAGCGATTTGTTTAACAACTTGTTAGCAAAGGATTTATCTCTAAAAGTATATTGTTTTTGTTCCATTCATATATTATGTTACATGATGCCTCCGCTAGTTTTTCACCCGACATGTTGATAATTTTTTGCTAATTTTATCCTAAAAAGTTGTTTTTTTTTGGGGAACATTATAAAAGATAAAATGTTTCATAAATTAAATAGTAATAATTTTTGAGAGGTATCTGTAGTTGTGTCCTTGCAAAACATACAAAATGCACATTTATTACCAATTTATTATTGCGTAGATTCGCAGATAAAAACTAATTTTCACCGGTATCACTTATTCAGTACACACATAGATTAGTTTCTTAAAAACATATACAAGTGGCAGTTGACACTAGTCAGTGATAAGATATATAGCTAACTCTACAGTATTATGAATGAAAACTTAAATATTGAAATGGTTATAAGACTTACTGATGATTTTAAATTATTCTAGATATATACGTAATTAATGAGTATTTTTTAGATTGAACACTTTGTATCTATATAGTACATATTAAAATAAATATTTAATATTTACAGCGACGGAATGGCATTAGGAGCAAGCGAGGACTGGAGAACAGTACTAAAAATTATGACTGGTGAAACCGAACTATCCACAGATGGTATATTGGAATATTTTTCGTCCCTTCAAGAGTTTCTTAAAGAAGTAAATTCAAAATTAATCAGTGAAGAGTCCCAAGATATGGATCAGAGTGCACCTATTATTGTAGGGATGATTGTTTTGTTTTTGACTATATTAATTATTGTTTTATATTGTGTGAAAAAATATAATGTAGGCATTGGAGTGTTGGCAGTGTGTGGATTGAGTAAGAACGGTTCTTTAGATATTGTGACGAACGAGATACCTCAAGCTAAAAATAACGAAGTAGATGGTATTCACGAAGAAAAAGTTTGATTTAGTCGCTATTAGATGTCAAGACTTATTAAAGAAATAACTACGATAATTTTAATGCCAAGGAAAAATTCTTAAACGCGGGATAAAAATAGAATAGAAATAGTGGCAATTTGTGAAATAAATATAATTATACATCTATGAATTTTTTATGTACCTATATAGTTACATTTTTTTTTATAAATAGTATCATTTTAATATTATTTTATTCATTAAAACCGTTGTAGATATTTGGATTAGCGATACAATATATAAATAATATTTTTTTTAGAATCCTTACAAAACTTAAAGAAAGAAATATGTTTTGTAGAGAAGTTTTTTTATATGACCTTTTTTCTACCGATTTTTTACCATTAAACGAGTATTTGTATAGTTGTAATTTGGATTGAAGGGTGACTGTGAAATTATTGGATAATGCCATAGTTTTCAGGAATTGCAACATGGAAGGTACTATATATGTATACAATATATTTTGTTATGTCTGTAAGCCAATGAGGCTGTTCGTGTAGTTTGAAATTGGTAATGGTAATAATGTCCATAGACATGAATCGATGTTTATGAGCAATGGTTAAAACTTCTATAAGAAGTGCGATGTTTTTTATTTGAAAAAGAAGGAAGAAGGTTTTTAATTCGTCAGTTTTTATGTGTGTATTTTTTATATCTCTGTCAAGTTTTTAGATAACTTGGAATGGCAAACAAGCTGACAAGTAGAAAAATGTGACAACGCAGTTGACTACAAAAAATATTTGAACACTATTTGTTTAGAGACTGAGAGAAGTTTTTTCTACTAGTACTGTTTAACCAAGAAAAAAACCCATCAAATTTTATAGTGATAGAACCCAGCGATGAGCGATGAATAAAACACACACACACACACACACACACACACAAACACACAGCTGTCAAAAAATTTATATGATCAATATAAGTCTTATAAAATGCAAAAATAATCTAATATAATAATTTGGATTAGTCGATGAAATAAAACACACACACACACACACACACACACACAAAATCAACACACAGCTGTAGCCTTTTTGTCAAAACTTGGTGAAAACATTAATATTCATTTTATGTTTTATATGTTGTTTTATATTTGATGTAAATAATCAAATTGTATCATTTTATTTATTAAAAAATGCAAAAATAATCTAATATAATATAATTATTTAAATCGAACTCAGAATTGATGAAATAACCGACCATAGTCGAGGTGGCATTTGCTAGCTGGGCCCAGCCTGCGTGGCCTCCACGGGCCTGGCTTTTTTTTAATGGATGATAATGGAATGGTAAGCCCACTGCGCTAACGGTATACGCTGGCAGGGTATCAGTGAAGGATGATAGATGACAATGAAAAGGCACGTCAGTTAGCCTGTCGTGATGAATCCATTTGGAATAGAACACGATATGTTTCCAGGGGGAACCGCGAGGAGGTCAACCTGACAGGGTGTATTGCTAATAATGGGGCTACTAATCCCCATTTTTAATAATCGATTATCCCCCAAAGGCCTGGCTTGTGGGATTTGCGGTGCCGTTACCAACTGGTACAACTACTATCATCTAGTCTCGGGCCTCGGGCTTGTGGTCAGCCACTCGGACCCTTTCGGTCCAGTGCAACTCTGGAGAAAACTCATTGTACTAGAAAAAAAGAATTTCTATGACAATGGTTTATTTTTTAATCTGATTGCTTATATCAGATTTGTAAGAGTTACCTGCAAAGATACTTCTGACATATTTGTGTTTTCTGCAGTGATATGCCTTTGCCTGCATGAATATATTTTGTTCAAAAGCATAACATTTGAATCCTAAATATTAGGAATTACAGCAGATCAGGAGACTTCATATAATATTATTATTCGGTCAATATTCATGGTGCAGTTCATGTTTGTAGGCGACGGTTACTACATTTCATAGAATGAGCTATCAAGTTATTTGCTATTCAATTTTATATAAAAAAAGAAAAGAAACAGGCATGCATCAAACTGTATTTGCGTATAGTTACGGATATATACACAATTAGACATAATTTATCCTTTAAAGAAGCCGTTACCAATATTTAATCTCTGTCTACGCCTTCTTGAAATTACGCATGTGAATTTAAAATATGTTATCATATTAAACTGTTTAGATAATGTGTTACAGTAAGGTGCCACTTATGATTTATCTAGGACATAATTAAGTAGCTAATATGTCACGGCTTTCTGCTAAGGTAGTCTATTATAAAACCAACTCTTTAAGTAGACATATCTATTGTATAGGCTTAGATTATATAGATAGAGTGTCTTCATACAAATGCTTCGAGAAAATCAGGTCAACTTTTTCATACAATTTTGTGTGATAAATTGTTATGGGTAATTCCTTTATAACATCTATATGTATTTTGTTTTATATTGTTTTCATCTTTTTAATGTGTAAATACTGATTTTATTTATTAAATAATTATATATAGATACATCAAGAGACTTTGTGTGCGTAAGTATATAGATCATTGATAAAAAACGAGCCGGCTAGTTTGACAAAAAGTTGATCCGTTTTTGAAATTCTAGGCTCTGCCTATATAATATAAGCATATAGTTAAGTAAGAATATGTCTATATTATTGGATTTTATATTATAAAGGCTAGTGTGAAGACTTATATGAGAGATAATTTATAGCCCGTTATTTTAGTATGTGGCACTCTTGACCTTGGATCTCATCCTTGTGAATGTCTTACTATAGAAAAAAAGAAAGAGAACGTGTTCTTACTACTCGTATAATGTTGTTCGCACGTTCCGAGGATTCTCTAGGAAGTACTGCAAATATACTTAATCTGCTATAATTATCAAGAGTGATACTAATCTATACTATACGCAACTTAGTTCTGTAAAGTTTACAGTGCTATTCATGTCCATGAGCGATGATTAATACTTCCCATTATAGTGAAGTGCCGGATTGCTTATTATATCCACTAAGAATTACAAAAATTGATTGTAAAGGATACAAAAGAGCTATCAACGCCGATTCTAAAGCAATAATGTGATTTTTATAATCTGTTTTCTTAATTTTCAATTTAATTTTCAACTCAGATTTAAATAGCGTCTATTGAATTGACAACAAATTTCCATTATAACTGCAATTTATTACATACTACTATTTATAAGTTGTTAAAATTTATTTTTTACTATTTATTACTTATTAATACGTTTGTATATAAAATCTGAAAATAAGAAAATTAACAAGAATTAATACATGGCACTTCAGATCAACATTATATCTGGGTCATTATACTTAGTCACTATACATTAAATATAGTGGTCTTAATAATATATTTTAAGCATATGACCCTTTGAAGTTCTTATAGTAGAAACTGTATTAGTTTTCCTATTCTTAATATCAAACTATAATAGAACATGCTTTAAGATAGAGAATAAAATTAAATCGAAAATAATCGAGCTTATATTATTATTTACTTATTTCTCAGTAAACATAATCGCATAAAAGGTAAATTTTATAAATACGTATCCACTGATCACCTATACTAAACGACTATGGCATACAAGTAAATATCGAAGATTTTAAAAGAATTACATCTTTTAGGTATGAAATGCTAAAGTATTGGGGAATTGGGATTGTTAGTAATAACATCCAACAGACCTGTTACTAGCAATATACCCAAACAGGTCGACCTCAACGCGGTTCCCCCTGGAAACCATCGTGATTGATTTTTGATGGATTCATCACGATGGGCCAACTGACCTGATTCATCTTCACATATCATCCCTCACTGGTTCCCCGCTAGCGTATCCCGATGACACAGGCGGGGTTACCATTCCATTTTCATTCATTAAAAAAAATGCTAAAGTATTATGAAAAGATCAGAACGTTATTGTTTGTATATGTAACAAATAATAGCGATAGGTGCAAATTGCATGATAATTCGACTGAAACGAAATGTCACCATCAATGGTGATCATACACTGTTTTGTGTGAATAATAAAAGTATAATCCACACATCCGGTAAGTGACTTTTTTATATGACATCGGATGACAAACAAGCTAACAAGCTACCCGTTGGATAATGGTAAAAATTTTTTTAATGGATGAAAATTTAATTGTATACTATGGTTTATGCTCGCATAGTCTCAGGGAAAGATGATAGATGAACTTATAGTTAATTTGGCAAGAATTAACCATCTAGCGGTTTTCTTGTTATCAATTACACTATTTGCAATAGATCCACTAATTTGCGAAACTAATAATTATAAACAGGAGCAAAGATATTACAGAATCTATGACGGTGATAGTATGTAGTAATGTGAGACTAATTCTGAAAATTAAGGAATTATCACTTGCTATTTTAATGCCGTTCAACTGAAAAATCTGCTTGCCAGCAGTAATATGCATTGCAACAGAGGTGCCCATACACACTGCTTATTTTGAACAGGCAAAACAAGTTATAGAATGTAGTCCTTCCAATCCAATGTAGTAATTATCCAACATACTCGTAGCAATATGCTCTGTCAGATCATACTTTACGCAGTTTCCTCTGGAAATTGCAGTGGTTAATTCCTGGTGAATTCATCACCAAGGGCTAAGGATGCTCAATGGAAACCCACCAGCAGAAATCGAAGCAGCCACAAAAGTGCAGGCAAATTTGCTATTCTACTATAATCCTTTAAAAAAATCTACTGTCTTAATCACTCAAATCAAATTGTTTTAAATGTAGTTTTCTGTTAATGAAGTTTTTTAAGAGCTTGCTCAGTTGCGGCTTGTCGAAATGTTCAAGAGTTTAAGAGTAATAGGTCCGTATAAACTGTACACAATCGCTAGACCATCGTCGACGGTGACAAACGTCGGCGCATGCGCATCGACGTTGCGTTTATACGTTACACTTACAAATTACGAACTTGAACTGTGAAGATATGTGTAGTGATAATCGTTGGTTGTGAATTCCCTTAATAATTCTAAAAGGTAAGTAAATTCTTTTTTCATTATTTTATTTAAAAATATTTTAAAAATTTGGTGATTATCATATGTAAAAAATTATATATGTTGAAAATAGGAATTGTGGTTCTCTACAAAAATATAACTGTAATAGTATAAATAATAAATGGTAATAAATAAATAGTAATATCAAAAAATAAATTAGTTTAAAGGTAATCAAATTTATATATAAACTGGCTGATCCTGCAAACTTTACTTTGCTCCCTTTTTTCACTTTCTGGGTACTTAACATAAACTTTATTTAAAATTATCCTATATTTCAAGTTGAAGCAAATAATACACTTTTATAGATTTTAATTAAAATTGGATTAACGGTTTTGGAAATTAATGTGAATTAACGCTGTGACACAGGATTTTAATATATTAAATTTTATTAGTCACCTATATAGATGATATTTATAATGTACGTATATATATAAATAAAAAGCATTGCATGCGAAGTATTTGGCGTTCCATTGTTTCTACCTACCCTAATGGGAGACAGGCGTGATAAATATATATGCATGTATGTAAAAAAAAAAACAGATATATATTCAGAGAAAGCTAGAAACTAAGACACCTAGTCCTCGGTTACAACTCATTGCATTTCAATACTACGTAAGTGGACCTCATTAATATTCTAAAAGTAAATGACGAAGTTATGACAAGACTAACATATTTTTTACGCTTTCTCTTGACTAGTTTATGTTTTTTTTTGCGTCTATATGTCATTTACTTGTTAGACGATTAAAAATTTTGTAGGTAACGATTATTTATTTAATATAATAGAAAAAAAATTTATAAAAATTAAAATATGTTCTTGTATTGTATATATTTACATACACATGCAATTACAATCATAGATGAGGTAGCCAAAGGAATTGCCGAACTCATGCAAGTGTACATACATGGATTTTTTAATTTTTTTTTGGTCTTTGGGTTAAAAATGAAATTTACAAAATTCTGGCGATGATTAGATTTAAAATAACAACAACTAACATGTCAGCTATTAATCCAAAATATTTTCGTTCTTTATGACTGTTTTTGTTTATTTCTGTGAACGTTTTTTATCTATTTTTTTATCATTTGATTGAAACTTGATACATGGATCGTATCTTAGATTAAAAGAGAACTTTTTATCTTAATGTACGTAGAAAAAGCTATGACTACAATAAAGTGCAACTAGTAAATAATAGATACAAATTGCAAGCAATACATTTAAATATATTTAAGCTAACCGTATTTCTAAGTGAATGCCAAAATAAAATCTTAATTCAAATCTGAGGCCTCGGTTTCAGACAAAGTTATATGTAAGTAGATTGTAACCGTGTGACCGAGATACGTTAGTTAACCGGGATAAAATACGAGTATAACGTGTATACCGAATTTCATGATGAATGGTTAGGCCGTTAAGGGGACAAGAGTTAACATATAAGCTCATATATTTAGTACTTCTTTTCGCCTGCCATGTTTATAGTACTAGTAAGATAGGGTAAGGAAGTAAGACCTCTAAAATAAGAGTAAGCATAGTATTATTTTATCTTTATATATTTTATCTTTATATATATTATATTTACATAAAGATAAATATATAGTATTTGTAAACAACAGTCATTACGAATATGAAAGTTAACGTGTTGCAAATTTGTGTGGTAACAAGTTATTACTTAACAAGTCTTAATACGAGTTTACAATATTAAATTTTAGCGTAAAAATGTAAATTAGGTGCCAATAAAATTTATTCATTCAGCTGTTTATACATACCCCATATTTTCATTGAGTGCAGTCTTCAACTTAAGTCGGTATCGAAACTTTATGCTAATTTAAATGTTTGACTAACTCTCTGGCGATGTGCATAACGTCAACCATTCGATAGGATGGTTTCTTATAGTAGATCTGATTAATGAGCTGTTCTATTCTATGATTACCCCAATTCAATAATATTCAGTGATAGTAAATTCGTTCCTTGTTGGCAATAAAATTCTTTGTTACTTTTATATTTCAGGTTATATTTTATTCCCAGTATATGTATCATTTACATTTGTATATCCTACTTCTGACTCTAGTTATGAATTAGGATGGTTAGGGCGTTTTTTGAAAAATGATTCATAATAAAACTTATTATAAATAATATATTGAATTAAATATCTAATTATATTAAATAATGGGTAAGTATGATTAGGTAATAAAATAAAACAAGATTATGTATCTTGTTTTATAAAATTAGGTTCTACGTGTTAATTTTTATTGTGATTGTAGATTTGTTAATTTACAGTTTGTTCTTAGTCTTTCAGCAGTAAATATATATCTACATATACAGGGCAAGGAAAAGTAAAATAACATCCTGTTCGTGGACGTTCTATTTGTAAAACTTAGTACTTTTTTCCATAGAAATATGATTGTAATATAATTCCCTGTCAAATATTTGAAGATTTTTTCATATACATTAAGATTTATTTATGTATTTTTCTATAAAACAAGCCAAGAGTTGAACACAAAATCTAATTTGAATTGTTATTTATTCTTATGCGTAAAAAGATTTGTATAAAAGGTTTTGAGTAATTTTTAACAGATTTCAAAAAGGATGAGTCTCTTAAATTTATTCGATCCGGCCATAAGATAGCCTGCTAATGTTCTGTAGTAGTACAAATAAAAAAAATTATTAAATGTTTGTATGTTTACTTAGATACTGTTTCAATGATAATTCAAATAAACTAGGGTACTTTTCCATGAAGTTCTGTTTAGTTGAAACAAACTATAATGTACGAGTATAAACTTGTCAATTTGATTGTCACAAAAACTAAAATTAAGTATTGAGGAAGTAAAAGTTTGTAATTGCTAATTGAAATAAAATGTTCAATTCTTTTTTTATGAATAAGTATGTGAGGTCATTGGTAAAGCAGGTATCATATATGAAATTTTAGAGTATCTACGTATATATATATATATATATATATATATATATAATAATAATATAGCATTTTCAATTTAAACATGTATTAGTTTTGAAGTGAGATTTAACAAAAACAACTGTGAACACCGCATTAAATTTAATGTTCATATGTGTTTGTAAGGATAAGCAAGCTAAAGTGGCAATGGGCTGGTCACATAGCTCGAAGAATCGATAACCGATGGGGAAGAAAGATTCTTAAGTGGCGACCTCGTACGGGTAAACGCAGTGTAGGACGATCCTCCACTAGGTGGAGTACGACCTGAAATGCATTGCAGGGAGTCAGTGGATGCAGGTGGTTCCGGACTGTTCTTTATGGCAGTCTATAGGGGAGGCTTATGTCCAACAGTGGATGAATAATGGCTGAAATGATGATGTGTTTGTACAACAATATAAATATAATATAAACAAAAATATAAATATTTAGACAGATACAATTTTTAAATGTGTTGGCATCAATGGTCTTATCAAGGCCTTTCATATTAATTTTTCCTAATACTAACTGTACACTTAAGAAAAGTGTACAGTCATCGTCTAGTTACAATTTTATTATATTAGTAAGATACAATGTATCTATTTATATACGGATTTAATTATCACATTCTTGTGAAAAAGGCAATAAATGGACTGTCATAGATGGACTGTCCGCTTATTTGCCATTCTCCTTGTAAGTTTTTTGTACTTGATGGTCATAAAACTTACCCTATTTCTGTTACAATGTAGTCTAAAACCTAATAAGTAATTATATTATAATTTAAACTGGTTTAAAGTAAAACTAAGAACGTGCCTAGTAACACCATTTAACACTTAACAGAAACAATAAGTGTTTCTGTTAAGTAAAAGACACTTTACGTGTTTTTTTACAGATAGTACTAATATTTGTAAGGTTTATAAATAGATATATGGGAAGTGAAGTATCCTTATTTGTTAATACTTCTGATTGTTTGAGTAATTTGATTTTAATAAGTGTTTTTGTATTTAAACAATCTCCAAAATCAATAAATTGTCACTTGCTTCATGCTTCGGATAGCATGTACCTAAAGCTGTCCAGTAGGCCGTGTCAGAGAGCTTTAGTGTATAATAAATGCGGCCAAGAAACTTGTCACCAGGGGGCGATCAGGATGCAAGAAGGCTCTTGATTCTTTACTCGATACTATAAATAATATTATCTCTTTTAGAAATTTTTTATTCAACTTAGAATGGCAAACAAGCTGACGTCCTTCCTGATGGAAAGTGGTAATCGTCGCCTATAGACATGAGCAGTACCATGGACGTAACAGAGTATACTGTTTCGCCCATGAAACCCCCCTTGCATTGCTATTTCTGAGGACTCAGGTGTGATTCCTTTGTACCCTAAATTTACTGCCATAGCCCACTCTGCAAAGCGAAACACAGCCATACAAACACATTTGCTTCACGGTAGCAACACGAATGGGACAAAGGCGCCTAAGCTAACGACTTTTGTAAAAGTCACCCTCTGGTAATATATCAGATTATAAATTATTTTTACACTAGACTTATAATTTTTGTCGATGTCCATTGTCTATTAAAATTTTATATTCAAGAAGGTATGCGACTGAAATATAACTTCCGTGTTGTTAGTAGAGATGGGCAATCCATGGGTTAAAGTCTGGTGGGTAAAAACCGGTGTTTTTTTATATAAACCCCATAAACACCCAAATTTTTGAATGTTTATGATTTTGTACATTATATTCATCTCAGACGTCCATATACTGGACATAGACAATATTATTATGCAGAGAATAAAAAACTTTTAATTTGATTTTGAGTTTATTAAGAAAGAGATGAAAGTAAAATGTAAAACTACAGTCAATCACTGTCAGATTCAGAGTTATTACAAACGATGAATTGTATAGGTTCGATAATTTCAAACTGTTACTTCATTTACAAGTCAAATGAAAGCTTCTAAAATTTTCTTCATTAAACTGAATGTCCTCGCATTCAGCTTTATCTATCTAAGTTCCAATAACAAATGAATGAAATTTTTTCAGTTCTTTCAGTTGTAAGTCGATTTCTT